CTAACCAACTTGGTTGAGGTTGCCCTCAAATATACCTATTTGATATTCCATGTCATGTTTTGTCTTGTTTCTTCCACATGTTCAACAGTTTCTTGTTCTCATAATACCCAAATATTTTACAAGATATTCTTGAAATACTACTCTTGCAATTTCTAACTGTTATTGGAGGATATGGGATTAAATTTGTGAACAACATGTTGAAAATGCTGCCTGCTTTCTTACCCTTTCTTTCAGAGGTTATATGGCTCCAGAATACGCGATGAGGGGCTATTTGACAGACAAAGCAGATGTTTACAGCTTTGGAATAGTTGCATTGGAGATTGTAAGCGGGAAAAGCAACACAAATTACAGACCAAAAGACGAGTTTGTGTACCTTCTTGATTGGGTAAGCCAAGACAGACATGCATAAGCAAGCTTTATCTGCTCTTTTGTTACCATTTCTGATAATAACCAGTCAGACATGTGTTTGGTTTGGAAAATGAAGGCTTATGTCCTAGAAGAACAGGGAAATCTATTAGAGCTTGTGGATCAGAGCCTGGGTTCCAACTATTCTAAAGAAGAAGCACTGAGGATGCTCAAACTGGCTCTTTTGTGTGCCAATCCATCACCAACTCTCAGGCCATCCATGGTCTCTGTGGTGAAGATGCTCAACGGCCAAATCCCAGTGCAAGCACCAGCCGTCGGGCCTGGAAAGTCGAATGATGATCTTGCTAGGTTTAAAGCCTTCGGGAAACTGTCACATGACAGCCAAACGACGACAAATTCTTCGTCGACCTTCTCCCTGGATCAGAGCCAGAAAAGTGTTTCAGTTGGTGCACCATGGACAGGTTCCTCACAATCTCTTCCTATAGATAGTTCTTCCACTTCCAAACTTCTTCCTGATCTTTATGACGTTAACCTTGAATAACTGAGAGGGCGAAACTAGAATATGGCATGCAGTAATTATACTTTGTTTGGTGTTAAACTAGAATAAGGCAGTCATTATATTTGTTTGATGTCTCCTGGCCTTTACCAAATTATTTTTGCCTCAATTAGAAAAGCTATGTATCTATTTTTAAGTAATGTGTATATGTATATTGATTCCATTTGTACAAAAATATGAGAAAAGAAGGGTGATGTGTTTTATGATTGGTAAAATATTTGAATGATAATAAAAGTAAACAAGCATGGTACTCTGTATATCAAATCAGATAATAAGGTAAAAAAAAATTTCAACCAAACACCACCTAGATTTTTCAACTATATAGATAAGGAATATTATATTGGTAAATAAACTAGCTCAAAGTATATAGATTTCACAACAATATGAAATAAAACATGATAAATTAAAAATAAAATAAAATAAAATAAAAACACAACGATTTTTACCTAGAAATCAATAAAAGGAAAAATTAATGACAAGAGGACTGCCTTTGGGTGAATCAATAATTATATTGTCAAATCGAACTTCACAATATTGTATTATTATCACAAGAGGATTTAATACATAATTAGAGGACAAGGTCCCTATTAATAAGAGAACATATGGCTTTGTTAGTCCTTTCCCCATTCGAAATAGAATCCAACAATATAGGCCATAGTATGATTTGGACATGAATACCGATTCGTAGAGTTGTTATACCATGGAATATGGTTCACCTTGCAAGGTGGACCCTAGTTCTAAATAACGTATAAATTGTGTATTTTTAGTATTGAAATTGTGAACTTCTAGAATATAAATTGTGTTTCTAAGTTAAAACACATAACAATGGTAGAAGGGAATTTGTGAATACAGTACAAGATCATTAAATCTTAATATGTTAATATTGTATGATTGCAGTATTTGAAAGGAACTTGTGAATACAAAACAAGTTAATCAATTACATATATGTTAACATTGAGTTTTTTTTGTTTTTTTTGTTTTTTTTTTTTGAAAGTAAGCTGTAGCAATATATTAATGAATGACCATAAGAATAGAGTCAGGAAGAACAGAGTCCCAGTACATAGAGTAATCATGATCAAATGCTAACGATGCTAAAGTATAAGCATGTAAATTAACCGTTCTCTAAATATAATTCAAAGAGCAATAAGTAAACGTAGTCATAGCCGTCCTACACTTGTCCACAATGACCCCAACATATGACAAGATAGTCGTTGAATTCGAGTGTATGGTATTTCGTAACTCTGAGCAATCTGTAAGAAGATCCACATCCAACACGTTTCGTTCCTTGAGCCAAGATAGAGCCTCCTTGCAAGCGAGTGCCTCAGCCATAAGAGGTGAGAAGCAGCCCGGCAACTTGCCGTTTGTTGTGGCCATAAATGAACCTTCGTGCGAGAGTAATACTACTCCATATGTTGCTTCTCCGGTTGCTGATCTGAAGCCTGCATCTATGTAACATCTCGGCCGCCCATCCATCTCGTCCAGAACTACAGCTACTGCCACGGGCTGAGGAGGGCAATGATGAACCTCCCAGTATGTGTGCATGGCCGCCGCCGCGCGTCTCCAGGTCTGGCCGGGTCTCGAGAGTGAACCGTCCCACACCGCTGAGTTCCGGGCTCTCCATAGTTGATAAAGGATGGCTGCCATAAGCCCACACTGCTCCTTTGTCAAAATAGCCAATGCACCGGTGAGCCATGATGGAAAGGAGTTGGTGACAATATTTGTGATGGGTAGCTCTGAAACATTCCAAACTAACTTAGAATAATCACAAAATATAAGAGAATGCATAAAATCCTCATGAGTTATCCCACACATTGGGCATGTAGGATCCACTTATACCCTCTTTATAAGTTGTTAGTGGTAGGGAGAATATCACATAAAGTTCTCCAACTTCCACAATGTAACCCATTTATCAAAAGCACTCGGGTCATGCTCAAAATCACCAACAATTCGCCTATAGGCTAGGTTCAAACACGCACTCTATCAGGTCGGGGTGTAGGGGGCCCTTAGGGTTGGGGTTCAGCCTTTTGGAAGAATATTATTCTACTCCGTAACATTTACAGCACGTTTGGTTCACGGAATGAATTTTGAAGTAATAGGAATGTTATTCCATAAGGAATGGAATAGGCAAGGAATAGAATAGGAATTGTATTCTATTGTTTGGTTCGCGGAAGGAATAGACTTTAGGAATTATATTACAGTGTTTGGTTGATTTAAGGAATAGAAATGAAATATGTTTTAAAAGACATAAATACCCTTATAAAAATATGTGATGGTGGCGGTGGTGGTGATGGTGGTGGTGGTGCTGGGGTGGTAGTGGCGGTGGTAGTGGTGGGGGCGACGGTGGTGGTGGTGACGGTTGTGGCAGTGGTGGTGGGGGCGGCAACGGTTGTGGCGGTGGTGGTGGTGGTGGTGACGGTGGTGCTGCTGGGTGCAGTGGTGGTTCTGGTGGCGGTGGCGATGGTGGTGGCGGTGATGGTGATGGTGGTGGTGGCGGTGGTGGTGCTGGGGTGGTAGTGGTGGTGGTGGCCGTGGCAGTGGTGGGAGCGGTGACGGTTGTGGCGATGGTGGTGACGGCGGCGGCAGTGATGGTGGTGGTGGCGATGACGGTGGTGAAATAAGATAAATTTAGATATAGGATAAAAAAAAATTAGGTAAAAGAAAGGGGTAAAAAAGAAAATAGATTCTAAAATCTATTCCTTAGCGTTCAGTAATAGGCTAATACCAGGGGGCCTAGTAATAGCTATTACCTTATTTAAGGTAATAGGCTATTACCAGGAATATTATTCCTGGTAATAGAAATGGTTACCAAACAAAGGAATAGGCCTATTACTGAGAATGCTATGCCATTCTCGGCCTATTCCGTAAACCAAACGGGCCATTAGGGTAACCAAGTAATGCAACTATGTACATGACGGGATAATTATATTGGATAAGTATAGGGTCTCGAGTTTGACTTGAAGTATTACTGATGAGGTAACGGACATAACGTACGTCCAAGCAGTTAAAGCAATTAATTAGTCAACAATAATAGTCAGAAGCCAGGAATTAATCCAAACACTTGGTATAAGATCCGTTGTATCCATTATATATATATATATATATATATATATATATATATATATCAAGAGTTAATTTGAGCAGTCCGCACGAACTTAGCTCAATGGTTTAGTGAGCAGTATTTGAAAGAAGAGTTAATTTGAGCAATTATAAGTTGTTATCATTTTTAGCCTAGTATAGACATTTAGCTATTGTAACAAACGGGAGACACTCTTTAAATTAAACTTGTACTTAACACTTCAAGTAATACAATTGCTCTATTTACTCTTAACATTCATAACTAATTTTCCAGTATTCCATTCGATTAATATCGTAAATAATACAATAATAATTATTTTTACTATTTGATTATCGATCTCTTGATTATAGTTGCATTGGATCTTGAGATTTAATCTTCGTGCCTTGAACTTGGATCCCCTAGGCCGAAGATCCAACACAATGCATTTATAAATATAATTGATCAAATTTATTATTTGTTTGATTAATTATTTTCTTATTCATCGACTTTGGTCTAAATATTTATTTATGAGAAAATTTCGTTGTTGGTCCCCTAACTATTATACATGAATCATATTTTATCTTTGACTATTAAATTTTTTCCTTCTTAAAGAGTACTGTATTTAGTTCTTTCGGAATGAACACTTCGGACAATAATTAGTTGAAAAATTATACGACAGGACCAAATGTGATACAAATTAAATAATTACCACTTAATTAGAAAATTTTTATAGTCAAGGATCAAATGTGTTCATGTATATTAGTCATGGACCAAAAGTGAAATTTATTATTTATTTATGAAGTAAATTAAATTAAAGCACTCCCTAATCATCTAGAATTTGTGGGGAAAAAAAACCATTATTTTTCGCTGCCATTAATATAATTAAAATGCTTTCCTAGTCATGAAAGGATTGTGTATTATTTCTCCTTCAACCATACAACTTCTAATTGCATGCATGAACTCACGCCGGCCTCTATATATATCCCACAATCTAAACCCGACAAAAAAACAGAAGAAAAACCGTGTTTTCTGAATTCCCCAAAACGACAACCAAGTACTACGTGCAATAATAGCCATGGAACGACAAGAACATATTCCAGACGGCTACATATTTCGTCCAACAGACGCAGAGCTCCTGGGCTATCTTGCCCTATTTGTCACCGGAAACCCCGTATTATCCACGGTTCCGATTATGGAGTCTGATCTATACAACGGAGAGGAGCCATGGAAGATATTCCAACGCTCAAGAGACAAGGTTTTATACATTTTTGCTACCTTAAAAAGGAGGAGTTCCAGCGATTCACGTTACATCCGGACGGTCGGAGATGGAAAGGGTACATGGAAGGCACAAGACAGAGGAAAACCGATTTACAGATACGATGATGATGATGATGATGATGACAACCAACAGTCGAGACAACTTATCGGATACAAGAGGAGTTTGAGGTACGAGAAGAGTGGATCGAAGCATGACCGGCGATTCTTGATGAAAGAATATTATTTTCCCAGTAATATAAGAGCCACATTGAAAGTACGTAAGATACATTATATATATTGTGTTTATGTAAATTGTTTAACTTAGCTCCCAATTCGTTATGTAGATTACAAGATTGTAACTTAACTATGATATTGTGACATGCAGAGGCCATTGAATGACATTGTACTTTGTAGAATCAAGAGGAAACAAAATAATAGAGAGATTATGGGTTTCGAGAGTGAATCAATTGAAGCACGAGACATCGGAGACATTATCGGCGAATTGGCGACGAAATCTTGTAGTTATTCGGAAGTTAACTCTCTTCTAGAGACGTCGCATTAGTCCGAATGAATTGAAGAAGATAGTTTTCATTGTTCCTTTTCGGGCGACCAGTATTTAGTTTATGTATTTTTTTGAGTGAAGAATGTAAACTGGCTTAGCCTAACTTATCCCTATTCAAATTAAGAAGATCAACTCGTCCTATTCTGATAGTCAAATTTGTAATCATGTAGTTACTAAGTCTGACTAACTTGTTCGGATTGACTCATAGTTAATATATTTAATGGTTTATGTATATTTATTTAGTATTTTTAGAGGCGACCAAAAACCAGTCTTTATGATTTATTGAGATTGAAGATTCCTAAAATTTGTTTTAATTTGCTCAAGAGACTCGCAACCACTAGGTTCCCTTCTCCGGCAGAAGGCAACGATGGTGGTTGCCTTCGATCTCAACGGTGAGAAAAGGCAATGGTGAGAAAAGCCAACCACCGTCGTTGCCTTCTGCCGGAGAAGGCAACCTAGTTGTTGCGTTCTCCCGTCTTCTCGGAGAAGGCAACCCAATTGCCTTCTCCGTTAATTCAAAATTGATCGGTGACCGTTCTACGGTGATCGATCGATTGGTTGTCGGAAATGTCGTCGGACTTAGTCGGAGGTTGCCGGAATGTTCACTGGAACCCTAGCTAATGATCATTTAAAAAAAAATGTGCAATCAAATCATTAAATAAGCAAAAGATGTGAAATTGGAATATTTTTCTAATTTCTTTTAATGCAGTTTAAATTAAAAATATTTCGATCTTTAGTCCTAACTAGTATGGTAGAGGAAAAGACAACTCTTAGTTCATACTTTGTAAGCAATATGATCAGATTCTACCGGAAAAAATTAAAAAAAAAAATGTTTGAATTACACATATTTTTTGCTTGTTTGATGGTTTGATTGAACACTTTTTAAGTTCAATGATCTAATGCACAAAACTTAGAAGTTCATGGTCCGTTTGGTTCACGGAATAGGCCTGGAATGGCATAGCATTCCCAGTAATAGGCTGCTATTACCTGGCCCCCTGGTATTAACCTATTGCCAATAGACCCACAACCACCATCCAGGCATCCACTGTGCCAATCGCCGCCGACTTCGAGAATCGAACATGAGCGCTGTCTAGGATTGACCCATCCCCAACCATCTAAGCTCCCCCATGCGAACCACCAGCCGCCTACGACATAGAACCGAGACTACACTTCACAGTCGCAAGCGGAACATCTCTAGTGGCTGCAGCCATGGTCTCACCAGAGGGCTGTTGGATTAAATTTAGACTAGACGAATACTAGGCCGCGACCATACCGAGCCCACCACCACCACCGGCTCCTTTGTCGTAATCCTCTGCTCGCTGGAGACTTGCCAGCGCCGCAACAAATCCCAGAAATTCCGGCGACTGCCGATTGACAATCTGAGCAGTGAGGGGCGTTCGCGACACCTCCCGAACGTTAACCAAAGCCTCCGATCGTCCATGCAATGCTTCAATTGCCGGTAAAACCTCCAAACCCGAAGGCTGGGTTGCGATGCGAGACTTTGCAATTAACTGTCGATCGCCAAATTGATGATGGAGATCACGATGCTGAGGACGGACAAGACCATGGGAGGGCTTCGACGGCCTGGAGGCGTTTGATCACCGAGGAAGACAGCGTATATCCCTTGCGACGTATAGTGCTAGATCTCATGTTGAACACTCCGATCGTCCATATTTTGTCTGATAATAATAATCACAATAATAAATGCTAAGGTTTTATTATTGTTATTGTTATTGTTATTGTTATTGTTATTTTTATTGTTGTTATTGTTGTTATTGTTGTTATTGTTATTGTTCTTATTATTATTATTATTATTATTATTATTTGTTGTTGTTATTGTTATTGTTATTGTTGTTATTGTTATTGTTCTTATTATTATTATTATTATTATTATTATTATTATTATTATTATTATTATTATTATTATTAAGGTCGTCATTTATGTCTTTTAAACATATATTCCATTTCTATTCCTTAACTTACCAAACGTTAGAATACAATTCCTAATGTTTATTCTTTCCGCAATCCAAACAATAGAATACAAATCATATTCTATTCCTTACATATTCCACTCCTTATGAAATAGCATTCTTATTCCCTCCAAATTGATTCCGTGAACCAAACTAGTCATCAATGGCTTATTTCAGTTATTTGACACCTTTTTCAAAATTATTTTCTAAAATTCATTGAAACACGTACGGCTAGAAAATTGCAAAGTAGACAAAGATTTAGAACAGTTTTCAACTTGGTGATGAGTATTGTTTTGATACATTATTTCTTTGCTTACATCATACTAATTCTAAACCCCTAGAATCTCTATTTAAGAATTGCTGAAAGAAGTAAATCGTGAATCACTCGAGCAACTTCGTCTGAGTCAGTCTCGGCTTGTCGTTAACTCACAAAGGATCTTATATCTGGCCACACTTTCATCAACTTGGAGAATCTAATAAAATATATAAATAGGTGATTAAATATATAATGATAAGTTTAAAATTTTGACCTAAAATAAACATAGAGATCAATATGAAATTAATGAATCTAGATCAGAGGACTAGGATGCTAGTAGCCAGCGCCACACAACGTCCGCAATGAGTAGTTGAACTCCCACCCTACCATTGGAATGGTGACTTTAGGTCAGATATTTAACACTTGAGCTAGCCCCACGGACTTATCTTTGACATATATGCGATAAAACATGCATATTGACTTCAATAATGGTAGGAACCAACAGTAGACGATCTTTAGATTTATAGGGGAGAGTGATCTAGCTCTCACTCCACAAGGAATAAGCCACCAAGCGGGTAGGGTTATTCGAGGTGAAATATTCACATAGGAAGTTGGATGAGTTGAAGAGAAATGAGGAGGGGTGCGACGAAAGTACGTAAATGATTGACATATATATACGTTAAAACAAGATTAAATAGATTATTCAATTATAAAAAAATTGTAATTAAACACTTAAATTAAAAAAAAAAAATCTCTAATTAGACATTTTAACTCCTCATTGTTATGCAATTAAGTCGATTAACAAGTTACTTATACAAAGGTAACATGTTAATCAACCTAATTGCATAAAAATGAAGAGTTAAGGTGTCTAATTATAGTTTTTTTTTTTTTTTTTAATTTAGAAGTTTAATTGTATTTTGGTTTAATAAAACAAAAAGTTGAATTAAAAGTAGGACCAGGAATAGAATAAAAAACGTTTTGTGAGTCCATCTCCACATTCACTCCGCCCATCCCCGAATTCTTTAGCCAGCTTAGAGCCTCTCGTAAGCATATTGCTTCAGCTTCGTTGATGGTGTAAGACCAATGTACAAGCATGTTCTTCGCCGCTAAGAACCCTCCATGATGATCACGTAAAACCCAACCAAACCCCATAGTACCAGCTGCTACATTAAGCGAAGCATCCGTGTTCAACTTCAACCTTCCCCCTTCCGGCCGTGACCAGCCTACACTACGATGTCCTGCAAGATTTCCACTGTTAACCTCAGACCAATTCCTCCAGAAAGAGAGAACTCGACGCAGCATCAAGTCAACATCAAAAACGATTCTTTTCCACACACAATCATTACGGCTCTGCCAAATTCCCCAACTCGTCATTATAAATCTTTCAAACCGTTCACCATTCAAGCTAGATAATAAGGCGAAAAAAAAAAAAACAATCAATAACATTACCGTACATTGTTCCGTTTGCTGGCACGCCAATCAAACCCCAGGCAAAAAACTAGTCAATAACTTTTATCATTTTTTAATATACTAGTTTTTTTATATACTACATGTTAATATTTTTAAAATTCATTTTAGTATAATGAATGTTCATTTTTAGTATACTAAAAATAAATATTTAGCATACTAAAAACAAACATCTACCAATGATTTACCTTATAGCATGAATCATGAGTTGTAGTATTAGGGTTCAAAATTGGGTTGTGCTTGAACTTTGAGATTGATGGGTTTGATTTTCTTACATTGTAAAGTTAATTTGTCTGGCCGGTTTGAAATTTGATTCACTTGTTGAGTTACTTCATTGTAACATTGAATTGGGCTTTATTGTTTCAATTTGTAACATGTTATTTTATGATAATAAGATTTACATCATTTTTCTTTAAAAAATGTCACAAATTTAATTATTATCAATATATTATTAGCTAAATTTGTCGCACAAATTTTTCTTAATTAGTTACCTCTTTTATATAAGTTGAGAGTTATTACACAAGCTAAGAGTGGTGTTACTCAATGAATATCATAATATGGCATAGTAACTTTTAATTTCCTTTGTCATTAAAAAATGAACTTTAATATGGCACCAAAGTTGGACTCCCATATGGGAGATTATGGGTTCGAGGACTTCGAGCCTCAGTGAAGGCGATATTGACTATTTGTGCTTTAGTAGGTTGAGAAAGTAGTTATGAACAGATACTACATTGTAATAGAGTCAGTAGCATTAAAAAAACACTTTAATATAGTACGAAGTACTAAATTATTGGATGACTGAAAACCCTCAAAGGGACGGCAAATTATTGTGTGGACGTCGTTGAATTTTATGAGTTAGAATAATGTACTTTATGTATTAGAATAATGTAGAATAATTAAATTTTTGAGGTAAGATAATGTACTTTATGAGTTAGAATAATGTACATTATGCTTTAAAATAATATACATTCTGAGTTATAAAAACGTATGTTGCAGTGGGTCGCCTGAAAACAAAATGCATTAAACGACGTCGTTTTTGGACCGTAGTCCATCTCACGTGTTTCATGAATATAAGCAATAATGCAGTGATGTAATAGTTTTACTATCGGAGTTGATACGTTGTGTTGGAAGAAGAGCCTCAAATGTGATTTACAGAGCTGTGTGAACCACAATTAACACCATAACTATTGCAAAGGTACGTGGTAATCTCACGTGTTTTCACGAATATAAGCAATAATGCATCGTTGCAATAATTGTACTATCGTCTATCGGAGTTGATACATTATGACGTTGGAAGATAAGCCTCAATTATAATTCACACAGCTCTAGATCACGGTCACGCAATAAGTAACGTAAAGGTCTGGTAATCTCACGTGTTTCACGATTAACGAATATAAAGCAATAATGCATGATGCAATAATTGTACTATCGGAGTTGATACGTTGTGTTCTGACTTTTGTCAATTAATATAGGGAAAATGACACTTTTTCACCCTGTGTTATATGCTTATAGTACTTTTTCCCCCTGAGTTATTCATGTATTCACATTTGCCACCTCAATTATTATAGAAGTGGCGATTTTTCCCCCTGATAATATTAAATGGACATTTCTACCCTTAAAACAAATATTTTATTTATTTCTCTTCTTCACCAAATTATTGCTTATACGTAGGGATGATCACGGTTCGATTCGAACTGAACCAAACACTATAGCAATCAAATTAAAAAATTTCGGTTATGATTCATAACATAACCCAATATTTGGGTTTCCGTTTATTAAAATCGTGAACTGGAAAAAAATGGATCCTGAACCGTGAACCGGAGGTTCAAATCGGAACAACTACTAGCAATAGCTTAAATTAGAATTATAATATTTGCAAATAGTGTATGTTTTTTTTCCGCATTTATATTGAGTCTCACATATAAGTATATATAATCGCGATTTGAGTTTTATTTTGAACCGTCGGTTCACGATTTTGGATCCAATTTGAACGGTTGGTTCAAACTTTCTTTTAAAATTTTATTTTTTATTTTTAAAATATTCTAAATTTAACACTTAATGTATTTTATTTTTTCAAATCGTGGTTATAATTTGTTGGAGAAGAAAAATAAATGAAATATTTATTAAGGGTAAATATGTCCATTTAATATATCAGGGGGAAAAACTGCCACTTAAATAATTTAGGGGGAAAAAGTGCTATAAGTATATAACAAAGGGGGAAAAAGTGCCATTTTCCCATTAATATATTTCTTTGTCTGGTCCTGTCGGTGAATTTTAATACTTTATGATTCATTACATTTGGAGGCGTTTGGTTCACAAAATGTTAGATTACCTTAGGAAATGTTAGATTGCTGAGAATATTAGATTTCTGTGTTTGGTAAAAATTGGGTTATATATAATATAAACCTGTTTGGTTGATGAATTGTTTGGAATGTTATAGTGGTTATTTTACCTTAACGCCCTCAAATTACAAATCATCTTGCAAAGTGAAGGGCAAATTTTGTAAAATAGCAAGGGAATCTTATATTACCTAAGGAGAGGAAGGTTATCACATTCCCTCAAAATTATGAAAAAAGTTGATGTGGAGGGTAAATAACATTCCATGGGAAAGTTGGATAACTTCAACCAAACAAAGGAATCTTGTATAATTAGCCAAATATAACCTTGGTTATCCTAGATAACCCGAACCAAACGCCCCCGGCATTTGGTAGAATTTGTAACTATGTCCTTTTTTTACCTATTCTATTTTTATTTTTTTAAAAAAAAAAAATAACTGGAATTGTATAAAAGATACAGAAGTTGAAATATAAATAAATAAATAAATAAATAAAAGCAGAGAATTTTTTTATTGACAGCTAGTATTTTATTATTTATAAAATTTGAATCTAACATTATGTTTAAGGAAAAATTTCATCACTAAAAAAGAAAAAATATTCTTTAAATTTTATTTAGGAATATCATGACAAATCTCTATTCTATACTTACTGCGCACAAAGAACCTCCCTTACTTTGAGAGGTTGCTCCCACACTGCCGTTGGTGAAACTCGATCCCTAGTCATTCTTTCAAAGTTTCACCTCTATAACCAGTTAAGCTGCCCATGCGAGTAGATAAATATCTATAACATGAATGGACTTTTGGCCTATGCAATTTGGCCATCCATATCAAAGCATGTAATTGTCACATTAATTAAATTCCTATATTTATTCATGTTATATATATATATATATATATATATATATATATATATATATATATATATATAGGGTCCGGATCAGGTGAGGACCTAATCTTAGGTGAGGACGTGAGGACTAATCTTGTGCGTTTGTTTTTTTATTTGGATGGTCCAGATTTGAGTTCTTGAGATGACATGGATTGATCTTTTTTGTTAAAGTGGGATAATAGTGTCTTTTTCTATTTTTTTTTTAAGTGTGAACGCATGTATAATCCTTGGCCAAATTGGTTTCCTATTTTCTTGGATCATCACCGTTGCAATTTGGAGCCGCGATTTCTTCATCATTGATTGAGTGTTCGCCCATGCAAACTAATCAGTATTTTTTATTTTTTTTCGCTTGTTCTTTTGAGTATAATATTGTCTATATTTGGATTGTCGTGTATATGTATAAATGCCTGGGTAGTACGATTGTGCATTCGTGTGTGCTGATTGTGCAACCTAGTGTTGTAAGTTGTGCACTATAGGCTAGGGAGTTGTGCATTATAGCACATAGTTCAATGCATCGTAGAACATTGGATGTTCACTGTATGATTTTTTGGCGGGGTTTGAATGCACAACAATGAAGTTATTGATGCACAACGTTTTGTATAGGAATGCACATCTTTTAATAAGACTGATTTACCCTAAATTTATATATTTTAATATTTTAAAGGGATTTGTTTTCTTAATCCGTGTGATTTGTTTCTTTTAATCTCAATCATACATCATTCTGATTTAATGGTACGTCTAGATTAGTCCTCACGTCCTCACCTAAGAGTAGGTCCTCACCTGATCCGGACCCTATATATATATATATATTGAATCAAATGAGATCGGGATAAGTCCTTAGAAGAAAAATAAGAATCAATCTTAAGCTTACATCTGAAAAAATCGGACCGATCAAATCAAATTTTTTATTAAAAAAAACGTTGTGACATTTTCGTAATTATCACCAACTTTACTATGCAAACTAAAACACTAAAATATGCACTTCTCTGACTTTTTCAGATTTGCACATTTAGTATTAACATTTTGCATATTTAGTATTAAAAGATTGCATTTGTAAAAATGTGAAAGTTCATTGCACTTAGGGTTTCGATTTTAGAGTTTATGATTGAGATTTTAGTTTTATTGGGTTTAGTAGTTCATTTTTTACTGCTTAAGGTCTATCATTTACGGTTTAGATTTAAAATTAAACATTTTAGTTAATTTTATAAAATTTACCAACAAGTTTGCATATTTAGTTGTTAAAGCTTGCATATTTTTTTCCAAGAGAAGGGGGGTGACATCTAGGATCAGTGACTGATCCTCACTGGGTTCGTGCCTCCTAAAAGGCCAAGCTCGTCCTCACGCATAGCTTTTTGAATGGCTCTCGGGGGGCACACAAACCATCTGCTTTCAGCGTTCTGTGCATAGACTTGTTTGGCTAAAATGTTGGCTACTTTGTTCTGCTCTTGTGACACATGGATAAATTCTATCTCCCATTGTCTTCTCTTCGCTTCCTTGCATTTATCAACAAGGTTCCTCGCTGGTCCATCGTAGTCCTCGGATCTGTTGATTATGGAAATGGCCATTGCACAATCTGATTCAATGACCAACTTTTGATAACCCAGGTCCCATGCCCTTTCCAAGCCAACGTAGATGCCCCAAGTTTGCATAGTAAAGTTGAGATAATTATAAAAATGTCACAGCATTTTAAAAAAAATCTTATTAGATCCGTTGAATTTTTGTAGATGTAAAGCACAGATTGGCTCATTAAATTAAGCACGTGTATGAAATTTGAAGCCAGGTATATTTTACTACTGCACTATGATCTTCAGAATCTCTTAAATTATATCCCCACCAGCTATATTGTCCTCTGATCTCTTTATCATCAATAATTTTTAATTAACCTTGATTTCGAATCTCAACTGGTGGATGTCATTTTGGGTTGGAAGATATTATATAATGGATGATGCTATAAGAATCATTTTTTTTTAATCATCTGGTGTAACAATATATTAATTATATTTAATTTATAAATAGATCAAAGTGGATATGATCAATCAATTTATAAAAGTTGTACATATACTAATCAATTGAGATAAAATGAAAGAGTGATAAAGTAAGTGATCGAGGTCAGATAGGGAGGTTAACCATCTATGACTGGTTTTTTTTATAGTATTATTGTTTCTATTATAAAAGAGAAAATTGCACTTTTCCCCCTTGTGTTTACATATAGCATATTTTTCCCCTGTGTTGTTTATATAATCACTTTATCCCCCTCAATTGTTTTTGAAGTGGTTATTTTCTCTCCTCTCCGTTAAATAAGTGTTAGTGCTGTTAAATATGAGGGTAAAAATGACATTTCACTTATTATTATTATTATTATTATTTTATTAAAATATAATAAACTATGTTAACATTTCTTTAAATTAATACTCCGTATAATTTAACTTTTTTTTAATTTATTAAAAATATTATTAAACACAAAAAAAATTAATTTAACAATTTAAAAAATTAGCGAAGTAACTAAAAAAGAGTTAAATTAATTAATAAATTATAAATAAGATAAGTAAGATGAGACAGAGAAAATAAGCACTATCATAAAAAAAAAAACAAAATATGATTTAAGCACATAATAATAATAATAATAATAATAATAATAATAATAATAATAATAATAATAATAATAATAATAAGAAGTGAAATGTCATTTTTACCCTCATATTTAACAGCCCTAACACTTATTTAACGGAGAGGGGGAAAATAGCCACTTCAAAAACAATTAAGGGGAATAAAGTGGTTACATAAACAACACAGGGGGAAAATATGTTATATGTAAACAACACAGGGGAAAAAAGTGTCATTTTCCCATTATAAAATATTTTCTCTAGTCTAAAGAGTCAATACTCCACCATCGAAATTTGATCATGTGACCTTTCGGAGGGACATAGTTGCCATCTTAATATAAGGTGCTTCCCACCAGCTATCTTATGGATGAGAAAGTCCCTTTAGAAACATGATTTGCCATATTTTATGGCTCCACGAGTTGTAATATATAAAATATAAGGCCATGCGTTGCATGCATAAGTCATAGTCTTCGCTATAAATCATTTTGCTTTAATTTGTTCCCCCATATATAAACGCACCATTATATAAATAGTTGAGTGCTCACTCCATCTGCACATACACTTTCGAGCTTGCCCATCCCAGTGAGAGAATTGAATTGAAATGGGAAACTACTTTCCATTAATCCTTCTTCTGATCTCTGTTTTTGTAGTGATAACTTCAGCAAACACCATTCTCTTACCTTCTGAACACCAACTGAAGCTATCGGGCGGCTGCCCCGCCCCCGACCCCAGCCTGAATTACCGGCCGGTCATCGGAATAGTCAGCCACCCCGGAGACGGAGCCAGTGGCAGAATCAGCAATGCCACCGGTGTTTCCTACATTGCTGCGTCCAACGTCAAGTTCGTCGAGTCTGCCGGTGCTAGGGTCATTCCTCTCATTTATAACGAGCCAACCGAGACTCTCATCAAAGTAAACTTAGCTTCCTCACTTCTTTTTGTTTCTTTGAATTAAAGCATGTGCTCCATCTCAACTAAAAGTCTAAGCTGATAGTTGGATTGCACGTTAATGGCTATATGCTAAAGCATGTGCTCCATCTCAACTAAAAGCCTAAGCAGCTGATAGTTGGATTGCACGTTAATGACTATATGCTCACACCCCCCACGTGTGCGGTGGGTTCCAAGCAACGTGGACCGGTAAACCGTATAGTGGCGCTGAGATTCGAATCATGACCTTTGGTTTGACTCTGATACCAAATTAAAGCATATGCTCCATCTCAACTAAAAGGCTAAGCTGATAATTGGATTGCACATTAATGGCTATATGCTCACACTTTTTCTAGAAAACTCGTAAGTACGTACTATTTGGTAATTAAGTACTACAATCTCCATAAAGTTTGGTAATTAAGGAAGTATCCTTTTTACAGAAACTGAATCTTGTGAATGGGGTAGTGTTCCCTGGGGGATCCTTTGAGAAGGGTGAATACTTGGAGGCTCTCAAGGAAATTTACAAGGTAATTCATCCTTCAAATTAAAATTGAAATTAAATAGTAGGGAATTAAGATTGTTAGTTACTCCGATAGATCCTGCTAGGAATCTCATATCTGTCTGTTTGTGTTGCAGAAAGTTTTGGAGAAGAATGACGGTGGAGATAACTTCCCTCTCCTCGCCATCAACTTAGGTTTTCAACTCTTGACAATAATCGTATCCGAGGTAGGTAATCTACCAGCTGAGCACATGTACATATGTTTCCTGAATTCCTGGGTGAATGTGCTCCATCTCAACTAAAAGCCGGCTGATAATTGGATTGTACATTTATGTTTATATATATTATATGCTCAACAGTTTCAACTTTCGAGATCATGTTCCTTTTCATTTGCTGCGCTGTAGGACAACATCATTCTTGAGAAATTTAGCGCCTCCAACCAAGCATCTACACTGCAAGTTGTGGAGGGCCTTAATGTTGAAGGAACTCTGTTTCAGAGGTATATGTTTTTTTTTTTTAAGAAAAAGGAAGTTTTATGGTTACTCTAGATCTCTGATCCCAAATGTAAACAAAACTAAAAGGAAAAGTAATACAAAAAGGAAAAAGAATGTTCAAATAAGCTCTCCAATTTTATACGGAAGTATAATTGTTGAGCATATAACCATTAATGCGCAACCCATTTATCAGCTTAGGCTTTTAGTTGAATGGAACACATGCCCTTCAATTTGGTATTAAAGGTTCAATTATCCGCGGAGCCCACAATGTAATCGCCCCGAGCATATAACTATTAATGTGCAATCCAACTATCAGCTTAAGCTTTTAGTTAATCGAATCTCGGTCATGGCTAATGATGCTGATCTGGGCTGTGTTTACCTTTCACAGATTCCCTTATGAGTTGCTGAGAAAGGTGGGTGAGGAATGCCTTGTCATGCAAAACCATAAAGTGAGTTCCATGAAACAATACTATTTTACTTTCACCATTGCTGATGCAATCAAAGCAGAAATCATATTCAATTCAATTCTTTCCTTGTGAAACAGTGGGGTATATCACCAGAAAGCTTCCAAGCAGATGCAGATTTGAGCAACTTTTTCAATGTATTAACAACTAGTCTTGACAAAGACAACAAGGTACAAACAAACTGTTCTCTCAACTTTTTCAATGCATTCCCTTCAACCAGGCTTCTAATTAACATTTGAAATTGGCTGTTTTAGGTCTATGTCTCTACAATTCAAGGGAAGAAATACCCTGTAGTTGCTGTACAATGGGCCCCAGAGGTATGTCCCGGGGAAAATAAATGCGTTTACTAATAAAAAAAAATTCTTCATTCTTTTGAAGAAAGGAAAACCGAGGATATGTAAATGAAAGGAGAATTGAAGTAAACGCAGATAACGAACATTGATAGGTTTGTTTGTTATACTTTATGCTGCAGAGAAATGCTTTTGAATGGGCATTATCTGAGATTCCACACAGTGAAGATGCAATTCTTGTGTCTCAAAGTGTTGCTAACTATTTTGTCAGGTAGGGGTTATTTTCCTTCCCTTTTAATTCACCATAAAATAGTTGCACTGAAACACAAAAGTCAATATCGCCCCAACTAGGACTTAAATTCATGACCTCCATTTGAAAGAGTGCAGTCATTGGCGACACCATACTTTCTATTTATAATAATTATGCATTTTCGGTATCATAAAATTTCTTTTTATTTATGTTTCCCATTTTACAGTGAAGCTAGGAAGTCTTCAAACGTACCAAATGAACCAGATGTCCGTGACAACCTCATCTACAACTATAATACCTCGTATAGTGGGAAGGATGGGTAAGTTTTCAGTAGGCACCCCTCCTAAAATTTTCATCTTTATTTATCCCTTTGACATTATATTATATAAGTATTTAATTAGAAGTATGTGGAGTCAATCAATTTATTACACCAATAATTATAAGTCATATCATAAGAGAAAATATTTGAAAAAGAAATTAATTTTCTTTCCAGTATTGGAGTATTTTTTTAAAAGAATTTTCAGGTGCTTATAAATATCATGGTTTGTTTCCCTGCAGGAGCGGTTTTGTTGAGGTTTACATCTTCTCTTAGGATTATGGTGTGATTTCTCAGTGGATATGATGTATTCCTAAATGCCTTATGAGCCATAATAAAAATGTAATAATAGGGCATTTGTATGATTGTATCTGTCTGCTAATAATAACCAGTAATAATATAATTATGTTTGGCTCGATAAATTTTGGCTTTTAGATCTCATTGCAATCAGTTATGCTAAAAAATTAGTTTACCAAACATTAATTTTATATGCTTGACTTAAAAGTCTTTTCTGTTGGGAAATATTTAATCTGAGTGTAGAGAGAACACAAGAAAACAAAAGAATCAAGAATTTCAAAGTGTTTCCTACAAGTTTTTAATCATCCTATATAAGCAACCTAAGTTTCAGATAAGCAACACGATAATTTAACAAGAAAATAAAAAATGATGAAAATATAACCGAATTTTCTTGAACAATAAATACAAATACCAACACTACAAATAGACAATAATGGTGATATTAAAACACACTCATACATGGAGATCGTGGGTGGCTACAAGAAGTTTTAAAATTTTTTCACATAAATAAGACAATAATTGAAATTAAAAAAAAAAAAAAATTATAAGCAAATATGAAAGGATTTGTCGGTCTACTGGTCACTAGCCAAAGTTTTATTTTGATTCGCAAGTCTTTCAGAAATATTTACGGATACCCTCATATTTGGCAAACAAATAAAAGGTTGCATCTTCATCCTCAAAACTCAGAACACATTTTTTTTTTTTTTGAAACAAAACCAGATCAACTTTCATTATCGGAATTCAGCAAACTTACAATAAAAACAGGAGGAATGTAAAACCAAGAAACACAATCAGTCATGGAACCAGATTCAATCGCAATATGATTGGCGACCTGGTTCGCTGATCATTTAACAAACAAGAACTGCAAATCAACAATTGTAGAAGCAATATCTTTAATATCATCAATAACTAGATCAAAGTAAGACTCTCCTGGCTCCCCCCGCACTGCGTGGAAAACCTCTTGAGCATCCATTTCCACATCCACTCTTTGGACGCCAATTTCCTTCAGCCAACTTAGCGCCTCCCGTACCCCCAACGCCTCTGCCATGCGTGCATCCTAGGTCGTCGAATTATACACAAAAATACAATTAGGTCATCCAACTAAAAAAAACTGTAATTAGGTCTATGAACATTACAAAATTATGCAATAAACTAAAATTGATTTGTTCATTCAATTACCTTTGACATGTTCGTCATTTTATTAAAAATTATTTATTAACTCTGTTATAATGTTATTAACTCTAGGCCGGAGACGAAGTAAAGAGTATTATTATTATTATTATTATTATTATTATTATTATTATTTAGTACTATTAACTCTGTTATAATGTTGTTAATGAGAAAATTTTAATTTTGGTCATATAAGTATAAGAGCTTTGTTAATTTTAACACCTGATTTTCAAAAGTGTCAATTTAGTACCTTGAGTATGTAATTTTTGTCAATTTTGGTCACTCTGGTCAAATTACCGGCAAAATTTCGTCGGAGAAAAGACGATTTTACCATAATTCAAAAGATGATTTTGCCCCTCAGATTATAGACTAAATGAAGGAGAAAATTTCAATTTTGGTCATATGAGTATAAGAGCTTTGTTAATTTTAACATCAGACTTTCAAAAGTGTCAATTTAGTAACTTGAGTATGTAATTTTTGTCAATTTTGGTCACTCTGGTCAAATTACCGGCAAAATTTCGTCGGAGAAAAGACGATTTTACCATAATTCAAAAGACGATTTTGCCCCTCATATTATAGACTAAATGAAGGATCAAGTTTTTCCAGCGAAATTTGACCAGAGTGATCAAAATTGATAAAAATTGCATAGTCAAGGTACTAAATTGACACTTTTGAAAGTCGAGTGCTGAAATTAACAAAGCCCCTATAATCATATGACCAAAATTGAAATTTCCTCCTAAATGAAGGATCAAGTTTTTCCAGCGAAATTTGACCGGCAATTTAACCGGAGTGATCAAAATTGATAAAAATTGCATAGTCAAGGTACTAAATTGACACTTTTGAAAGTTGAGTGCTGAAATTAACAAAGCCCCTATAATCATATGACCAAAATTGAAATTTCCTCTATTGTTAATTATTAAAGAATTTTATTCTAATAATATGATAGAATGAATATCAAATCTCATAAGATACAAAAATCTTCAAAAGGAATTTCTCCAATCAAACATTCTATCAAAGCGTTGGTCCAATGAATGTCACTTTAAGGTAAGGTATTGAATGAGTTTGTTAAATAAATAAATAAATAAATAAAAATTTCATGCATGTATATATAAATTTTATTCTCTCAATTTTATTGATGGATCTGATAAATTATTATTTTTATATGGATCACAATACATTTTATGAAAATTAAGGGTAGAAAATGTCATTTTTAAGGAATAAATAAAAGTAATGGTGGAGGGATAAAAATTGGGACAACTACTGCTCACTCCATCACCTCGCAGATTGGAGGTTGCTGAGAGAGAAGTAGCCGGAATGAGAATTTACCTTCCCATCCTTCTCCTCATCTCTGGTTTTCTGGCGATATCTTCAGCAAACCGTAATCCCACGGCTCTCTTACCTTCTGAACCCCAACTGACCAACTGCCCCGCGCCCGACGGCGATCTGAATTACCGGCCGGTCATCGGGATTGTCAGCCATCCCGGGGACGGAGCCAAAAGCCGCTTCAGCAATGCTTCCGATGTTTCCTACATCGCTGCTTCCTACGTCAAATTCGTCGAGTCTGCTGGTGCTAGGGTCATTCCTCTCATTTATAACGAGCCTCCTGAGATTCTCATCCAAGTAAAATTTCTATATCATAATTAATGCTTGCTTGCTTGTGCTGTCTTCAATCTCCATAAGCTGTGCTAAAACTCATCCGTTTACAGAAACTCAATCTAGTTAACGGTGTGCTGTTCACTGGGGGATCCTCCAAGAAGGGTCTGTACTTTGAGGTTGTCAAGGGAATTTTCCAGGTAATTGATCCTTAAAAATTGGAATAGTAGCTAAACTGCTCAAGTTGTATGTATTTAACTCATAAGATTATGCAGCTATGGTGACATTTAACCTCCATATGTTTCACGATTGAAGGTTATATATACTTTCCCTTTTGGTACTCCCAGTACGGAATAATATTTTGTAACATAATATAGGTTGTCTTAGAGGATAGAATTGTATTATTTGCAAATCTGTTATCCATCATCTGAAAGTTTGGTTTCTAAAAATATATTCTGCTATTTTATATTTTTTGAACATTGCTATCTGCTGAACGTGAAGCTCATTCCTGTTTTCTTGCAGAAAGTTTTGGAGAAGAATGATGCAGGAGATCATTTCCCTCTCCTTGCCATATGCTTGGGTTTTGAACTTTTAACAATGATCATCACAAAGGTAAACTTACAAGGATATGGAGATGTGTTTCCTCCGTATTCGGTATTTCCTAGAAGGTTGTTCTTTAGTTCTCTATAAGGTAAATTTATTGATTGTCCTTTCCATGTGCCCTGATTAATTGCCTGAAGATGTGCTTGCAAATTTCTGAAATTTTGTACTTCTGCTTCACAATTGATTTTTTATTCTATTATTCAACTGTGTAAATGGCATACTGGAATTTCTCATATCTACTTATCAAATCTGTTCCACATTTGATGTGTGAATTTTAAGATCTTGTCCCTTATAATTTCCTCTCTAGGACAATAACATTCTTGAGGGATTTAATGCGGCAAACCAAGCATCTAAGCTACAATTTGTGGAGGGTGCTAATTTTGAAGGAACCCTGTTTCAGAGGTATATGTTTATAGGAGTTCATTTGAAGACAAATCATTATGATATGGATACATTGTGTTGACAACTATAAAGCTGTTTTGTAGTGACTAAACTGCTTGCTTGACTCACATACTCTACAACTGTCCCGAACTGTAGTTCTGTGTGCATGTTAATGGAGCAATGATAATTCTTGTCTCGCTAGTATACTCAGCTAATGATGCTGTGCTGTGTTGTATCATTCACAGATTCCCTTCTGAGTTGCTAAAAAAGATGAGTAAGGATTGCCTTGTCATGCAAAATCATCATGTGAGTTACACCAGAACAAAATTTTATTTTCATCATTGTTGGTGCATTCAAATTTTGGTTGTTTATTCTAAAATGGCTGGGTTGAGTTCATGCTTACTGCCTCATTATTTGACATCTACCTTCCTACAAGTGTGATGAGATTTTCTACTGCAATAGAGATTTTAGAGTTTATGGCTAATAAATGTGTGTGCGTGCGTGTTTGTATTTATCTATCAATTGTTCCCTTTTTAGTTCATTTTTGCTGATCTGGCATCTGTTTTGCTATGATAAACATTTATAACCATGGATACATAAAATCATCATTGTGTGTTATTTTTTAGTAACAAACCCATTCATTCTTTTCCTTGTGAAACAGTATGGCATTTCACCTGAAAAATTCCGAGCGAATGCAGACTTGTGTAACTTCTTCAAGATTTTGACAACAAGTGCTGATCAAGACAACAAGGTAACGAAATAAGATACAAATTTGACAATTCCTACTACTGCATCTCCTTCAAAGGGAGGCTGCTCACATTTGCAATTGATTATTTCAGATCTATGTCTCCACAGTTCAAGCAGAGCACTACCCCGTAACTGCTGTACAATGGCACCCAGAGGTAAGAGTCTCGGTGAAAATACTAAGATTAAAATATCCCTGAAAATATTCAAATAGTTGTTATTGGATACTGGTGTACTTTTTACTGCTACCAAGATTAAAATTCTGTATATCGTGCTGCAGAAAAATGCTTTTGAATGGGGCTTATCTGAGATTCCACACACTGAAGATGCAATTCTAGTGACTCAAAATGTTGCCAACTACTTTATCAGGTAGGTTTATTTTCCTTCTCCTTTTTCACTGTAGGAATAGGAAAATGGAACAATTTTAAGATTTTAAGTGTATTTTGATGGAACTCTGATTCAATTGACTTCCTTAAAACTTTTTGCTTTTTGCATATATTGTTCAAACTCCTTAGAATTATTGTTCACATGCCTTAGTCAATTCTCTGTTGTGGTGATAGGAGGACGAAGAATTTAAGCAACATAATTAAATAAACAAAGTCCAGAAATTAAAAATTAAAAATTAAAAGGGAAGGGAAAAAAAAAAAAAAAAAAAATAGAACTTCCTCTGTTGAATACTTGATGATCCAGGTTTGGAGAATACAAAGCCAACTTACCCTTACAATTATTTTCAAATAGCCCCTTTTTGATTCAGCATTGTATTTACCATTTTTCAGTGAAGCTAGGAAATCTTTAAACAGGCCAGATGCTCAAGAAGTGCTTAACAACCTTATTTACAACTATAGTCCCTCTTATAGTGGGAAGTCTGGGTAAGCAATTTTTCAGCCTGCTTTCAGAGTAAACCAATGAATTTCCGGGTGTTTATTTCCCTTCCTGTGTCTTGCAGGAGCGGTTTTGATGAGGTTTACATCTTCACTCAGAATTCTGGTCTGAGTTCTCTGTAGATACAGGTCTAGTGTATAATGTATATGAACATGACTATATGATTGTGAGAATTCTCTGTAATTATGTGTATAATATCATATCTGTGTTATTGCTAGCTATGTGAGAACCTTTGACATTTTCATTGGTGAAAGATTGTTTAATTTCTCTGAATTTGATGAAAGCATCACTGCCAGTTATGTTATGGAAACAGGTAAAGTTAAAATATCTGGAAATTTAACAAATAACAATTTATTTATTATTATTATAGGTTAGTATCATTTGATTACAAACAAGGGAATGGGAATGGGAATATGCTTCCATCAAAAAGGCACATGGCTAAATTCTCAGCAAGCATGACTAAACTTATCTGACTACTTGTAGCAATATGAACCCTCATACTTGCCCTGGTATCCTAAAAGTTGACTCCCTTTGCCTCTACTTGTTTTGGTTCCACTCCAGTAGCATCAAAATTTGTTTCTTTGTTTTTATCTTGTCTGTGATGTTTTGTCCTTTCCTTTTGGCTTTTAGACCTTGCTTGCACATGCTGAGGAACCTTCATAGTGCTCTGAGTATTCCATTTTGCTTGGATACTGTTTGTAACTTCACTTATGCAGGTTTGATCATTAAGGATTGTATGTTTTGATTCATTCGAATGGTAATGTAGTTGTTTATTGCATTAAAAGATAAATGAACCATATAACTCATATACTTGCTAAAGTTTTGGGCTCTGGCCTAGAAACATGGGATGTCTTTTTAGCAAGGTTGCAAAACTCGGCCGCCTAGACGCCTAGGCGCTAGGCGGCCCCGAGCCTTGGAGTTTTGGCCAAAACTCGGCAGGCGGCCGCTAGGCGGCCAACTCGGCCGAGTCGGTCAACTCGGCCGAGTCGACCGATTTCGTCCGATTTTGACCGTTTTTGACCGATTTTGTTCGATTTTGACCGATGTCGTCTTTCATTAATTATTGATTTTAATATTATTATGACATTATGACGGATCGTTTTTGACCGATTTTGTTCGATTTTGACCGATGTCGTCTTTCATTAATTATTGATTTTAATATTATTATGACATTATGACTTATAAATTATCATTATTTCATTTATTTAGATGTGTTATTTGAGTGAACGTTGAAAACAACCTCATTAAAATTGTCGAACTACAAGTCTGTTATTATTTTTTAAAATTTTTTTGGTGCCCGCCTAGAATCCACCTAGGCGCTAGGCGCTGCCCGGCCGCCCGACTAGCGCCTAGCGTCTACTGCAACCATGCTTTTTAGTGGACCATCCATAGGGTACATATTTTTGTACATATGATACATTATTTTAATATTTTTTATACATAGGATACATTATTTCTATGCATAGGGTACATTATTTTTTTACATAATATTTATTATTTGAATGTGCACAAAATAGTATGAAAATAGCTTGATGGTTCATTATGTATATGCATAAAGTTCACTATTTGTATACATATGGTTCATTATTTGAGTGTGTGCAAACTAGTTGAATGTTGATTATTTATGCATGTATATTATACTCATTTATATTGTACATGATGTTCATTATTTGTAGAGCTCGTTGGACTAATTAGGAACACCCCTCCCCCCTTAGAAATATGGTACTATTTGTGTGCTCTACTTGTATTTTTGTTTTGATATTTTCAGCATTTGTTTTGTTTTGTTTTAGTATGTTGTATACAAAATTACAATTGTTTCAAATTGAACAATGTTAGGTCAATATAGCTAGCCCAATAAAGGGCCATTAATCAAACACCAATCATTGACACCTTCTAGGAGGTGCTCCAGCTCCTTGGGACCTTGTCCTTGCAGGAACATACACCACCTAAAAATCAAAGAACATGATATTTTAGCTAGGCATGAAATAATAATTTTTTAACAAAATAAGGAATTTTTTTATGGTGAGAGTATTAAAAATAATAAGAAATGAGGTATGTTCTATTATATATATATAATTTCAACATCAATGAAATTATATAAATTAATTGAATTTTATCAAATTATAGAATATATCTTATCATTTACTATTTTTAATATCCAAAAAGTTATTAATATAGATACAGTCGATATGAAAGTCGCTTCATAAAATATAAAGAGAAAAAAAATTAACTTTTAATCACTTGACTATTATATATGAATCACATTTGATCCTTGACTATTAAAATTTTTTAATTAGATGCATGACTATATAATTTGTATCACATTTGATCCTACCGCCTAATCTCTCGGCCAACTATTGCTGGAAGAGCACTATATTTTCTTCTTCAGCAAGAGCATTGTATTTGCTTCTTTCAGAAGGAGCACTTTCGGCAATAGTTGGCTTGAAAATTGAACGGTATAATTAAATGTGATACAAATTACATAGTCATGCATCTAATTAAAAAATGTTAATAGTCAAGGATCAAATTTAATTCATATATAATAATTAAGGGACTAAAAGTGAAATTTATTCAAAAATAAATGCAGCTAAGATCCTCTACTGTTGGACTTGGTGTGAGTCAATTCCAAGGTTATTTTAAAAAACAAAATAATTAATACATTGGTTTGGCATTTTATCATTGTTGAACTTGGTTATATATGCATGTCTGATGTCACAAACTGGTCGGCTTGAAGATGGGTTTGGATTTCCCTTTCTATATTAATTAGGACCCCATTTTGACGTGAAAAGCCGATGGGCTTGGATTTCCCTTTCTATACTAATTAATATTTGCAACCACATACACATGGATGCCTTCCTGGGCACCGTATCATGTAATTACAGTCTTAATCCACACCAGAGAGATAAACTAAATAAAATTGTACGATGAATTAGGCTAAAATAATGTTAGCAAAAATCAAACTCGTAATTGTTAAATGCAAAAATAATATTCCATTCCCTCGATCACCTATTAGCTTTCAGGTAAACTTTGTTTGTGTTATTGTTGCTTCAACTGGTGGGTAATTAACCAGGGATTATGACAAACTTAATGATTGTTTCGCTCTAATAGCCAACATAAATCATGCTAATCGGGCGTGTACCTCGCGTGCCATACATGCATAATGCATGTAGGACTTGTTAGTGAATGTATCAATGTATACGTGATGATGTGATTAAAAGAAAACTTACATTATTATCATGTTATTATGTACTAAATTGGTTGGGATTATTATCTAATGTTTAACATAGTGTTAGTGTGATATGTGTTTTAAAAATTTAACTTAATGTTAGTGATATTTATTTAAACATATCACGTGGATACACATAATTTTTCAGTAACTTTGTATGTGTGAACTCAATTTTTTTTTTTTTAATTTGAAAGTTTAATTATATTCTTTAGAAAAATGAGAATTTATTTAACTTTTATTTTCGATATGGCTATTTATTATAAATTAAAAAAGGAATTGACTAGTAAATGTTATTAATGGTGATTAATAACAATTAGTGACTATCAATGGCATATATATTAATCAGCAATTCAACGCCCTCCACTTCTAGGATGGAGTTTACAACGTGGATGTTCGCAAGTTTAGTGGGTAGAATTTGGGAGAAGAGTTTACAATGTGGATACTCGATATACATAATTTCTCAATAATTAACTTTGTTGGTGTGAACAACTAAATTTTTTTCCGGTTTGAAAGTTTAATGGTATTCTTTCTTCTTCTTCTTCTTCTTCTTCTTTTTTTTTTTTTTTTTTTTTTAAAGAGAGAATTTATTTGTTTAATTGAAATTATTTAACTCTTATTTTAGATATATAACTATTTATAAACTAAAAAAGAAACCAACTAGTAAATGTTATTAATGGTGATTAATAACAATTAGTGACCATCAATGGCATATTATTATTATTATTATTATTATTATTATTATTATTATTTTTGAAGAATGACATATATTAATATTAGAACATATAATAAAAAAAATAAAAAAATAAAAACAATGAATTGGGGAGGAAAAATATAAAGGGTATATCTAGCATTAGTCAATTCTAATATATAACTCACGCATGGTTTTAATTTAGTAACGCCATATATGAGCTAACATTTTCAATGTGATTGCAACGTTTGAAGGTACGAATTAAAGCCATTCCACTGTATGATTTCTTTGTTTTTTCTATTGCATGATTTAAGACACGTCACGAAAAAAAAAAACAAAATGTAAGGTAACTATCATCACATAATTTCACTTACCAAAAAAAAATAATAATAATAATAAAAATCATCACATACTTTCATTATAAAAATTATGCTTTTTACTACTTAATTGTTCTTGAGTTATAAATTTACTCTAAAGCAAGTTTCACTTTTAATCATCGATTATTGTGTCATTGTCACGTATAATTATACTCTTTTAATTTTACCTAATTAGATCGTTAATTTTCATTTGTTAGTCTTCCATTTGTTTTTTTGCCATTTCAACCATTTAATACAAAAAAAAAAAAAAAAAAAAAAAAAAAAAAAAAAAAAAAGCTAAATATGAAATTTCATCATTTAACATCTATTGCCCAATATGCAATTTCTCTCTCTCTCTCTCTCATAATTGAGTGAAGAAATTACATGTTAGTCATCTTTATTAATGGTGAAAGTTACATAGATAACTGATTCGATAAGCAAATGAAAGTCAATGATATAATGTGACAAAATAAAAAGAATATGACTAAATATGACAATGACTTCGTTCATAATTTTTTTTTTTTAGTTCACTACGTTCATTTGGCAACTCATAATATACCTTAGGAAAATACTATGTGTACTCTCATCTTTTACTCCTAACTCTTACCCTCACACACAAAATTATTGTGATGTAGACATTTATATTGGGATCCACATAAAAGAAAAAAGTAACTTATCAATGCACACCACATCAAACAGTAAATTTAGGAAATAAAATTTGAGCCTGCATAGGCAGCTCAACTGGTCATAGCGGTGAAATTTGGAAAGAATGATCAGAGATCGAGTCTCAAATCACCAGTGACAGTGTGGGAGCAACCTCTCAAAGTGAGGGGGTTCTTTGTACGCAGTAAGCAAATGTTTAGCCTCTCTGGTTCAGTTGAGTTACGATGATTTACATCCTCTAAAATACTCTGTGAGATCAAAGTGTAGAGACAGTTAGAATTGAGAATTCAATCTTTTAAGTAGAAAAAGAGAAAATAAGACTTGAAAGTACATGTACTAGAACTCTATACCTTATGGACTTCTTGTCCCTATTTAATTATTTAATTCGGAAAAGATGTTACTTACCCACCTACGTACCTATGCAATAAATGTGCATCACCTATCCCCTTTGTCCATTGCTTTCCTTGTCTTTTTTATCATCAATCAACAATATATCCTTGAGGGAGACTAAAAACATTTAAAAAATGAGAAAATTAGTGTTTGATTACTCAATTATTTTTAAATTATAAAGAGAAATTTACACTTTCTCCCTCAAATTATAGTGATATAGTTACATCTATTTTTCCACATAAGTTGTTTTCGAAGTGACTTTCTTTTTCTTTTCTTTTTTCTTTTTTGAAAAACAATTCATCGATATATTAAAAAATATGGACACCGTGATTTACTTCCTTTCAAATGATCTATTTGGTCTGGGTGTGAAAACCCTTGTGATTGGATATTTAACCTTTTAGAAGAAGAAGAAAAAAAATATAAAAAATTTGCTTAATACAAATGAGAATAACATCGATCCAAACAGATGAGCCCGCCTGAGAATCTGCTACCCTAATAAGTGAATGAACTAATACATTCACTGACTTACGAATAAAACAAAAGGACATTCATTCAAAGTGTCTTGCTAAAATCTAAAGTCATTAATCATTTACTGTTGATATTTAAAATCTTAAAAAAATGAGCAACTTATTATGAATATTAGCAAAATCATTCGATGTTATTGTTCATTTAACCCAAAGATCAATCAATTTAATATAAGGGTCAAATAGGTCATCAAACTGCACACGATAATATAATTATGTCACTTAACCTAACAAAATTACAATTGAATTCCTAAACTAACTCATTTCATGTAATTCATCCAATTTGCAGGTTTTTCCAGTTTATAACATGTCACTTAAATTTAAAATATTATTAAAAAATAATTATTTAAAATTTAAAATTTCCAGTTTCTAAATCATCGTCGTCGGGACGGTTGCTGGCTCGCCAGTTTGCCAGGCAAATCTCTTCGGCTACGCTTACGGCACCGCCACAGGGATGGCATCCGGCACGAGAATCACGATTTATAAAGTGTGTTAGACCGGCAGGTGCTTCAGTTCGGATATTCTTTCAGCGGTGGCTGACGACGTTAATGTTCAGTCAATCTCATTGGGGGGAGGCGTCTCGTCTTACGCTAGAGACAGTTTATCCATCGTGACTTTTTGAGCAATGGAGATAAGAGTTTTAGTGTCGTGTTCAGCCGGAAACAACGGCCCGGATCCCATTAGTCTATTTATAGTACTTCAAGAGTTGGAGAAACCAGGAAAATGAGTGGAAATCAACTCCAAGAGGTATGGAACATACATGTACCCCGTCGCTAAGCCGCCAACTATCGCTCGACCCCCTCCTCAGTGTACACCTTGGGATGTTAAAGTCGCCCATCAACTGTTTGTGTTGGCTACCAATGATTGGTTGTCCCCCTCCATCGCTAGTCGCATTTGTAGCTAGGAGCACGGTGGACAAGGCACCCTGTCCAAAATAGCGAACCTAAAAAAAAAACATTTTAATTGTTTTATTTAGAATATAAAAATATTTATAATAATATTAAAAATAATGTCATTTATTAAAATTATTTTTTTTTTAAAAAAAAAAAACTATGGTTTCCAGCGGAAACTAGTAAATACTAGTTTTCGCCGGAAACCATACCTATAGTTTTTGTCAGAAATCAAGGTCAGGCTAGATTCAAAGTGAACTGACTTGGTCGGTGGAAAATGACTTCCGCCAAATTTTGGCATAAGTCATTTTCCTCCAAAATAACCATATTTTTCAGAGTCAATGAAATAATTTCTGTTGACTTGATTTTTCAGTCACATCCAAACACTGAAACCATGAAAATGATTTCTAGAAATCATTTTTTCGAATTTTCAAACACACCCCAAAATAGTCATATTTTCCAGAGTCACCCGAAAATGATTTCCATAAACTTGATTTTTCAGGCACATTCAAACACTGAAAACTTGGAAAATGATTTCTTCTAAGTTTCCAAACACACCTTATTTTAAAGAAGAAACACTAATTAGTTTTACCTATTTAAAGAAGAAAAAAATGTAAATCACCAATCACCATAAGAGTGCGTTTGGAAACCCAGATAATGATTTCCTCAAATCATTTTTTGGATTTTCAGTATTTGGCTAGAGGCGGGGAAATGAAAGTCAATAGGGAGTAGATGAGATTTTTTAGAAAATGACTTACTTTTTTTTTTTTTTTTTTGGTGTAACAGTGGAGCAGTCAATCACCTGCTGCCGTCGGCACCACCACCCACCACCAATCACTCACTACCATCACCACCACCACCACCATCACAATCACGCACCACCCACCATCACCATTGTATATTTTAAATATTTAAAATTTAAAATAATTATGCTCATTTTTCATAAAATAAATCAAACATATCAAGAGAATTTTTTGAAATACAAGTGAGCACGGAAAAGAAAAATAACTCATTCTTTCATAAAATATTTTCTTTCTTTTCAAACACACGCTAAAATTAAGATGGAAAAAATGATTGACAGAAATGACCCCCTCTCGTTTTTGCCAATCAACCAGCTTACCAGCTGTTATCCTGCGTTTCCGCAGTAGTGTGGTGCTAATTACTAAAACACCCTCATAAAATCTCCACCGACCTTCACAACTTACCGCTTTTGATCTCAAACGTCGTCGGCAATTCCGTCAAATCCAAGATCTCGAAATTGACTCAGTTGGGTCTTTACTGTCTCCTTGCTTTTAATCCCCAGCGGACAGTTTCTCTTTCATACTCCCCCAGACGATTGGCCTACTCCGTCTTGTCTCTTCAACCTTCTCCATAGACGCCTGGGAAAAATCTTCCTCTCCCTGTTCAGATAGTGTATGAAGCTTTGTTTCTGATCTCAACGTCGCAGCTGTTCTTCGATCATCGCAATAATCTTTTACAGCTTGAAGCGGAAGTAATTAAGACGCCTGTTTGAGTTTGAAGAAGCTTTCGTTCTGTTCTTCGCATTGTATTCCAGGTCAGAACTCACAGCACATCATTCTCTTATTTCTCTAGAATATTCGGTTGAAATTTTTGTCAAAATTCTTAGAAATATCATATGTTTAGTTGAAATTTCATGCCGTGCCTGGAAATTTTCAGTTATTTTTGCTCTTTTAGATGAGTTTTACTTGTTTCCAGTGTATGTGTGTGTGTGTAAAGACCTGGTTTTCCCTGGTTCGGTTTACAGTAAGAGATAGCAGGGGTGTGTTAATGAATGAATGAATGATTAGTGATTACGGTGTTTTGCTCTCTGATTCTCTTGGGATTCGCGCTGCGACGAAGATGATTGGGTGAAAATCTCCGTTTCCTGGACGCGTTTTTGAGGAAGAAGAAGAAAAGCAAAAGGTGATGTAACGGTAATTTCTCTCGATGGTGCCATGGTCTTCTTCTGGTATCTGTGTGTCTGTACCAGCATGTATTGAAAATTTCAACTGCTCAGTACGCATAGGAAATCGTGGACGGTGTGAGTAGCGCCCGCGCTAGCGCATGTCTCTAAGTTTGAGTTCTCTGTGTTGGCACCCTACAGTAGTTTACCGTGTGGACTCGGGTGATCTTGTGGTCACGTGAGCGCGGGCACGAAGCGCTGGATGTGAGCCCGCAGAGAACAGGGGAATGTGTTTTTGTCCGTTGGATTTACGTTGGGCACTAGGATCGAGAAACGAGTCTTCGGTAGAAAATTTATGAGCCTGGTGTCTACGACAGTATAATGATAGGGCCCCCACGTGATTTTCTTGCGACGGGGTCCACTCAATGGGCCCACTGCATGCGTGGTGACAGGTTTAAAACAAAAATAGTAATTGTACTTATTACTATTTATATTGATGATTGGTTAGGGGAAAAAATTTAAAAATAAAATAAAAAATAAGGTGCGTTTACTGAAGAAACTTTACTCTTTAGCTTTCATGTTGGCATAGTCCTCCGCTGTACAAACATGTATACGACCTGTTTGCTCTTACTGGTATGGGGGTCCGGGGGTTATGCCCACAAGTCACTATGAACCTTTTATCTGCTCTAGGTGGAAATATTTGGAGATCTAATTAGGTTATTTTATCATATATAGTGGGGCCAAAAATAAAGATTTTTGAATTATGTCATGGAGTACATTTTTCACTGTTTATAAAGTGTTGAGAGGACATCTTTCGGCAGAAATAATTTTTCATGAATATCTAAAGTATGACTATGAATGTGAATTCTCGCGTGAATGTCGGCTTGTTTGGAAAGGGTTCTGGGATTTGTCTAATATTAGCAAATCTTTTATTTATTTTTATATTCAATAGAGTGATGGACATGGATGGGTTTGGATTTTACATTCTCTCACCTTAGTATCTTTTGGAGTTTGGATCTTAGACATTGGGCTCAAATTTTATTTTATTCCCCCCCCCCCCCCTCTTGAGCACCTAGTAGAAATGTGAATATGTGATCATCATTAATGATGAGTATATAGTTTTATAATAATTCCAAGTCATAGGCTTTGGCCGGAATATAGGAATTTCTAGTGGAATAATTCTCTTGCAAAGTGGGCCTCAGCAGTATTTAGAAGGGTGACAGTATTTGTCATAATATGGAAAAAAGGTCATAATTTGAGAACTTAAATTGTCTGGTGGAAGGATTGATTGATAGAGATACTTGTCCTATTTCCCCTTCAATTAAGGGGGGAAATTTTGGCTTCTGTGGTTGCAAAATATGTTGATCCTTTCAATATTTTCTCTTCCAGTGCCTTATTTTCATTCTGTTTTGAATAAATTTCCAAATTGATTGTGAAAGATATTGAGGTGAAGGTACTTTCGGTTATTAAGATTGGACCGTCATTCAATCATATTGAATTGTGCCTGCAAGCCCTTTGCAATTTTCTTTGTATTTACCAGTTTATTGTGATGCTGTAATATGAACTTAGATGGCAAGATTTTGTATCTATATGAAACTATGAAAGTCATAAGAAGCTGGTTTTGCTGTCTTTATCTGGAATTGGTAACCTGTTAGTGGGCAGCTCTAGAAATCATATCCTCAATTCCCCCATTAATTAATGTTCCTTGTTTGGTTAGAGTTTGACAATGTTAATGCATCTTCCATACCCCGCCTCACATAATTTGTTTATTTTTCCAGGTAGACATTTATGCACATCATTGCTTTACAATATATAATAATATATTGTAGAATATCATGTAAGAGTATCTTTAATGTTCAACCTTAGACTTTTCTTTTGAGCATGCTGTTTGGATTAGATGTTCTATTTTCTTTACCTCCTATGTGTTTATTCGTTCAGTCTTCTCCATCTTTTTAGATCCACTTTCTTGATACTTCAATATGACATGAAATAAGAATTAAAAGAATACCATATTGCCTTTAATAGATTCAATCCAAGAAATAAAGCATTCTGCTTTACTCTTTTGTTTCGATATGTTATCATCATTTTGATAGTTGCAGCATCCTTTAAATGTTCTTGTTCTGTAATTAGCTGAATTGTGTGTTTCATGTTTGTGAATTTGGTTCCAGATGGACTCGGTTGACCATCCTGTGGTTACTGCAAGCAAGAGCAAATTGGCTCGTACTTTTGCGAAGGTTATGCACATTCGAGCTGTGGCAAGTAGTGTTCATGGAAATCAAAGATCCAAGTCCCATGAAAAAGTGAAAAATGATGTGATAAAGAGTGATTTTCTGAAGAACATGCAGTTCAATATTTGCGATGAAGAAGAAAAGATGATGGAGAAATTAGCAGTCGAAGCTTTTATTGCCAAATTATTTGCAAGCATCTCAGCTGTTAAAGCAGCATATGCGGAGTTGCAATATTCTCAATCTCCTTATGACCCTGATGGGATTCGTGCTGCAGATCAAATGGTGGTGTCTGAGCTGAAAAGTTTATCTGAACTGAAACAGTGCTACTTGAAGAAACAGATAGAAGACTATTCCCCTGAGAATTTGGTTTTGGCAGAAATTCAGGAGCAGAAGTGCATTATCAAGACTTATGAAGTCATGGGAAAGAAGCTGGATTCTCAGGTCAGGCTCAAGGATTCAGAAATTACCTTCTTAAAGGAGAAGCTGGAGGAGGCCAATAAGGAGAACAAAATTCTCGAGAAGCGATTGAATTCAAGCGGGCAGTTATCTGTTCCTGACAATCTTCACTTCTCAGGATTGAGTCCCTGTCATTTCATTACAATCCTTAGGCAGGCAACAAAATCAATTCGGAGTTTCGTTAGGCTGCTTAGTAGGGAAATGGAATCTTCTGGTTGGGATTTAGATTTGGCAGCCAGTGCAATTGTACCTCGCGTAGCTTTCTGGCAAGTAAATCACAAATGCTATGCATTCGAATCCTTCGTTTGCAGAGAGATGTTTGAAGGCTTCAATGTTCTCAACTTCTCCGTTTCACGTGAGCCCCTCCCCGAGGGTAAAAAATTGCAGAGGCTGTTCTTTGACAGATTCAAAGAACTGAAATCAGTGAAGCCAGCTGATTATCTAGCATGGAAACCGAAATCTACATTTGCAAGATTTTGCTGCAAGAAATACTTGCGGCTCATTCATCCCAGAATGGAACAATCTCTGTTCGGCAATTTGGATCAGAGAAGCATGGTGAAATCTGGGGAATACCCAGAAACTCCCTTCTTTTCTTCATTCGCTGAAATGGCGAAGCGCATATGGCTTCTGCATTGCCTTGCCTTTTCCTTTGATCCTGAAGCTTCAATCTTCCAAGTGAGCAGGGGAAGTCGATTTTCCGATGTTTATATGGAGAGCATGAGCGACGAAGCATTCTTATCATCGGAAGGGACGCCGGAAACACAACCTCGGGTGGCTTTCACGGTGGTGCCCGGCTTCAGGGTAGGTAAAACTGTTATTCAGGCTCAAGTATACCTACGTTGACCCTAGACCAATATGAGCCCTTGATTGATAATCAATCGAAGGGCCCCAGATTAAGTCATATCGGACTGATCTGAAAGGGGAAACCGCGTGGACTTGTTCTGTCCGAACAACCCAATAGTCTTTAGTATTATAACGTTTTCTTGAGTTATTCCCCCCACAAGTTTTGTTAATTTTAGGCTAGTGGTGTCGGGATTGGATTCTCAGTTGTATATTATATGATTCCTTTATATAAAAATTCGATTTTCTTTGCATCCAAAAATATCTTAAATTGAATATTGAATGTATTTTTTTTCGAAATCAGAGCATCAACATATAGGACGATCTAGACTAGGACGTTCCCCCTCTCCCTAGGGAACATACCCTATAACCATTTTGTTGAAAGAGAGTGTAGAGCAGAAAGTAGTTGGGACGAGGGTAATGATTCAACGTTATGCATTGGTGATGGGGCTGATGGGTCTACCAATTTGGTGTGACGTTTAGGCGTCGCACATGCCTCGTTGGAAACTTGGGATCTGGGTTGATGGTAGGCCAGTAGGCCGGTAGGGTCCTTCCAGCCTTCACTGAATTTATCTAAACCATCATCATCAATGCATTTTGGTGGTAGCTTTTGACAGTGCATTTGGTTTGAAGGAATGAATTAAAAAAAAATGTGAATAAAGTAAGAATTCAAATTACATTGTTTAGTAGGAAGAAATAGAATTATTAAGAATGAGAAAGAAAGAAGTGGTATAACTACTAAAATGCTCTTACATAATAATAATAATAATGAAAGAAAATTACACTTTTCATCCCTAAGTTATAGAGTAATTGTAGAATTCGTCCTTAAGTGTTGGTCATATGCACTTTTCGTCTCTTCACTAATAAAATATTAGAGACGAATTTACAATTTTAGTGTAACTCAGAGACGAAAAATAAGTACGAAAGGATGAAAAGTGTTACTCCATTGATAATTTAAGGGCAAAATGTGAGCATGATCAACACATAAGGACGAAATTTGTAATTACCCTATAACTTAGGGATGAAAAGTGTAATTTTTCTTAATAATAATAATAATAACCAAAGACTCATTTGTCATTTCATCTCATTTTTTCTTTCTCACAATCACTGAATTGCAATTCATGGAGAGCACCCATGAATTATAATTCAGCAAATGAGGGAGTTGTGATTCCCTCCAATTAAACATCATAATTTACATGATAAGGAATTCGGCTGTAAAAGAATTACAATTACAGCCAACCAAATAAGTTGTGAGAAGTTTTTCCAAGTAAAAAGTAATGTTTTACTTACCCCGTCAGATAGATGCATTGCAGGCATGCACCTGGCTGGGCGCAAGATTTGCCAGCCACGCGAATACGCGATGCAAAGTGGTTAGCTTTCTTCTTTGGTTGAGTCCACAATTTAGTAAAACCTTGCACCTTCATATGAGAGTTCATTTACTTTCTCTTCTCTCCTTCTCTCTTTCACATAGATTTTGATTCTTCAAAAATCATACCATAATCCACTCATGATGGTGAATTGGTGATGCTCTAATAATTAGGCTAAATATATCGCAATTCTCACATTGGCAATATGACATAAATATTTAATATTATTTATTTATTTTTTTATTGCTGAAGTGTTCTACGTACAAGTTTACAAACCGTTTTGTTTTATTATTTGTTTGGTTTGTTTATTTTGTACTCTTTATATTTTAAAAGTTTCTTGGAGCATTAAAAGTTTTTAAAAGTAAAAATGTTAGCCTGATTAAGACTTGAGTTGTTACGTACAAGTAATTGACAGAATTCCAAAAATATGTTTATTGTAAATAATTATACTTGTAAACATCTAATCAAACGGGCCATGTTCTCTCACTTTAGAACACACTATCACCATCTATTCTATATTTTGAGTACTCTATTATTGAGAATGAATTTCATAGACCTCTAAGAGGGTTGTGCTATGCACCGAATAATTGAACTCCAAATGTCCAATGCAACTAATGGCCAATTCCCGGGCTAGGCACCGATCGATCCACATGGATTTCGTCCAATGGCAAACCACCATGGCCAGCGATAGCGATATCACTATCATCATGACCTTTATCACTTGGAGCGGTAGGCGGAACGTCACCTTTCGGGAGGGCATTCATTATCCTTTTCATCATCAATCTCGCCTCCATTTTCATCACCTTTCTTGATTCCATCGGCATTGCATGACAGGCCAACAAAACCATCAAGGCAAGCAAAACCGCATTAGGGCAAGCCATCGTATATCCAGGCTCCTGGTATATATTTGCAAGCTAGATTGTGGAAGGATTAAGGAGTGCATAATGGGGAGAGGGTGAATTGAGAGTTGTATTTATAGTAGAGGTGTCAAACGGGTAAATATGGGTTGGTATTGTCTAGTCAGTCATTGGCCCACTTATTTTTGGATAGAGTTGGGACAATCCAATTAAATTTGACAAATTATGTTGTGCATCCGTATGCACCATGCATGGTGCATACGGATGCAAAAACCACGTCGTTTTATTAAAAACGCGTGTCCACTTTTTTTTTAAAAAAATCAGTTTTGATTCCCAGCAACAACATTATATTGTGCATAATTTGAACTATATAACCAGAATCAATGAACTAAAAATCCAGAATCAATGAACTAAAAATACAGAATGAATGAACTAAAAATAAAGAATGAATAAACTAAAAATCCATAATGAATGAACTAAATATCCATAATGAATGAACTAAATATTCAGCATGAATGGAAAAAAAAAAATCAGTTTCGATTTACGTCTAAATATCCAGAATCAATGAACTAAAAATTCAAAATCTGTGAACTAAAAATTCAGAATGAATGAACAACATAATGCTGTTGAGGGGAATCGAAACTGATTTTTTTTTTTTTAAATGGGACACGTTTTTAATAAAACGACGTCATTTTTGCATCCGTATGCACCATGTACCATGCATGGTGCATACGGATACACAGCATAACGATCCATTAAATTTAAAGTCCAACTCAACCCTTACACCTAAAAAATACAAAAGGAAAAAAGTATAATTAAACTTTAAAATATTTAAGCTTGTAATTGAATCTTTGTCCTTCAATAGGTTGAGAAAGTATGTATAACTCGATACCGATCATGATTATGATACGGGGTGGTTGGAATAATCCCCATCACACATCAATGAAAAAAATGGTAACTTTTTTTTTTTTTTATTACAAAAGGAGAAATGGGATACCCACACCAAGGCTCGAACCTTAAACCTTTCACATAAGAAAGCAACCAAATACCAATGGACAATAAGCTACTTGGTAAAAAAAAAAAATGGTAATATTGACTAGGCCTTTCTTGCAAAATATTTATTACTTTATAAATTAGTATGTATTCTATTAGGAGTCAATGAACTTGTGGTCTAGTGACATTAAGTGGCTCTTCCTAATGGGAGGTCTTGGGTTTGAGTCTAATGGGGGCCGTATTCACTCATTGTGCTTCAGTAGATTGAAAAAGCAACTATGAATAGATACTACTCTGAGGGCAATATTGACCCATTGTGCTTCGGTAAGTTGAGAAAAATAACTATGAATAAATACTACTCTGTAACACGTAATAGAGTCAGTAGTACAAATTGTACTCAAAAAAGACGTATTCTATTAGAAAATTATTTATTATTAGAAATAAAAAGTTTCCAAATGGAATACATAATAATTTAGAATTAATTAATATTTTGCAAGAAAGGCCCAGTCATGCAAAATAGAATACATTTTTGGGGAACTATTAATTACATGCAAATGTATTCTATTAAGAATATTTTTAACTCTATTACAATTATTTATTACCGAGTATTAGAAATAAAGAGTTTCTAAATAGAATACATAGTAATTTAGAATGTAATTAATATTTTGCAAGAAAGGCCCATCATGCAAAATAGAATACATTTTTAGGGAAACTATTAATTACATGCAAATGTATTCTATTAGGAAACTATTTTAACTCTATTACAATTATTTATTATTAGAAATAAAGAGTTTCCAAATACAATACATAATAATTTAGAATGTAATTAATATTTTGCAAGAAAGGCCAATCATGCAAAATAGAATACATTTTTGGGAAACTATTAATTACATGCAAATGTATTCTATTAGGAAACTATTTTTAACGAGTAAATACCTAAAATGGTCCCTCGACTATAACTAAATTCACAAATTGGTCCTTGACTTTCAATTTCAACCAATTAAGTCTTTAACTTTGTAATTTTGACACGATTTGGTCCTCCATCTATTTGACCGTTTGTTGACCGTGATCGACGATCTCCAGAAGAACCTTCATCTCTCGTCGGAGCACGTGGAGGCCTCCATGATGACGTTACACTGGTTTGGAAACCCGTCGTCTTCTTCGCTCTGGTACGAACTCAACTATATTGAATCCAAAGGGAGGATGAAGAAAGGCGACCGGATTTGATAGATTGCTTTTTGGCAGTGGATTTAAATGTAACAGTGCGATATGGAAATGCAACCAGAACCTTAAAAAATCGACGATGGACCATGAAATTGCATATATATCCTCAAAAATCACAATCAACAAACGGTCAAATAGACAGAGGACCAAATTGTGTTAAAATTACAAAGTTAAGGACTTAATTGGTTGAAATTGAAAGTCGATGACCAATTTGTGAATTTAGCTATAGTCGAGGGACCATTTTGGGTATTTACTCTTAACTCTATTACATGTAGTATCTGTTCATAATTATGTCTCAACCTGAGGCTCAAACTCATAACCTCCCATATGAGAGTCTAACCTTGGTGCCATTAGACCACAAGGTCTTGAAATTATTTCTTGATTTTCTTTTTGGTCTTTGACACACAGAATAAACATATGACACTAAAAATAAAATTGAGATTTCTAAAATACAATTTGACATATCAAAATCTATAATAATTTATCCCTAACAAATTTGTTGAATTTACCACGCCTTTTTCTTGGAGCATTAAAAGTTTTCAAGTAAAAAAGTTAGCATGACTACTAAGACTTGAGTAGTTACGTACAAGTAATTGACGGAATTCCGAAAATATGTTTATTGTAAAATTTTCATTTAGATAATTATACATGTAAACATCTAATCAAACGGACTCTTTTCAATCGCTCACTTTAGAACCCACCATCACCATCTACTCTATTGATTGAGTACTCTATTATCTGGGAATGAATTTCATAGATCTCTAAGAGGTATTGTGCTATGCACAGAAGAATAATGGAAAGGAAATCTGTGTCGTGTTATAACAACAGAATTGAACTCCAAATGTCCAATGCAACTAATTGCCAATTGTCGGGCTAGGTACCGATCCCAAATTTCGATCCACATGGCTTTGGACCGACGGCAAACCACCATGCCCAGTGACAGTGTTATCGCCATTGTCATGACCTTTATCACTTGGAGACGAAGGCGGAACGTCACCTTTCGGGAGGGAATTCATCATCATCATCATCATCCTCAAACTCGCCTCCATTTTCATCACCTTTCTTGATTCCATTGGTATTGCATGACAGGCCAACAAAACCATCAAGGCAAGCAAAACCGCGTTGGGGCAAGCCATCATATATCCCGGCTCCTTGTATATATCTGCAAGCTAGATGGTGGAAGGAGGATTGAAGGAAATGCATAATGGGGAGAGAGGGGGAACTGAGAGTTGTATTTATATAGTAGAGGTGTCAAACGGTCCAATATAGTTGGATAAGTCAGATTCAATGTTTGGAATGAAACAAAGGGAATAATTTGTTTTTTGTCTAGTGAATGCCTCGTGGAAGTTGGGTAGGTATGGATGAACTAAGCCGCCGGCCTCTCTATTATATCTCTACTCCTAACACTACATTTGCACTGTCCCCTTAACAATTCCCCATAGCTTTGTGCTACGCCTCCAATTATTTGACCATCTCACTTGCCTGCTCAAATCATCTGCAGTAACCCATATATAATGTGTGCACGCAAAGTTTAGCTTTAGTGCAGTTTGAGACTTCTGGTTACATAATTCTTCCTTCCATGCATTTTCCCACAAGATAGTGGTGACTGATTTGACAACACTGATACTGATAGCACAAAAGGCAACATTATTTCTGATAAATTTGCAACGTTGTTTCTGAGAATTGCCTAACTATAACTTTCACTGGGGTAACCTTTTCTTGGACGGACTAGAGAGGAGTTTGATGACAGAAAATCTTGTATAATATTAGGTTGGAACATGAAAATTAGAATCGGAATCAAATACCTGATAATTGGAATGAGTTTTGGTGAAAATATTTTGCATGTTTGGTAATAGGTTGAGATTGGAATGATTACCAATATTGTTATTTGATTATATATGACCCTATAATTGGAATAAAGGTTTTTGAAAATATAAAAACAAAAAAGTAAGGCAATTGATTCTAATATGATAACATCCAAAACACCAATATATATATATAAATAAAAATAAAAAATCTAAAAACACTAATACTATGTATTGAGGAGGAGACGAAATGAGGTGAGTCATCGACCTATTAGATATTAGATACGGGTTTTGTTTGCTAATGAGGCCTGAGGAAGATGAGAACGAAGGAAATGGACAAAGGTAGGCAAAGGGCAAGTCAAATTATCAAAGAGAGTGATTGCGTAGCTGGTTAAGCTTAAACAATGGTAGAAAATGACAGAAAAAGCAGGCATAATAAAATAAGAAGTCTGGTTGACATTCCACTAGTAAAATTTTAAAAAGGCCATTTTCAGGAAACAGACAATCGGAATACTTACATGGAGAGAGCGGCTTCAATCTGCATCCAGCTATAAATCACGCCTGATGGTTGCATGTATTAAAAAACATATAATCTGATCAGAGACTGCAGAAATGAGATTTTAAACAACAAAAAGCCATCAGAAAGAGACATTGACTTCTATGCATATATAAATAAGGTATATTATAATACACAGTAAGGGATCTTCTGGGAAAAAACATCTTTTGATCTAGCTATATGAGATTATGGATCAGCATGTAAAGGCAGATGTTTCATGCAAAAGGTTAATTAAATTGAAGCATGTGTTCCAAAGACTAAGCTGATAGTTGGATTGCATACATATTATATATAATCAACACCCCCCTCACATATGCGGGTTACTTTTGACGGGTTCCAAATTGAAGTATTTGATCCATTTCAACTAAAAGGTTAAGTTGATTGAATATATATATGCTCAACACGCCCCAGCCTTTTACTTTTGACGGGCTCCAAATTGAAGCATGTGTTCTATCTCAACTAAAAGTCTAACGTGATAGTTGGACTGCACATTTATTTTATATATTAGAGTTAATTCCACTTTTGGTCCTAGACTTATTAGGGGTTGGACATTTTTCATCCTTCATAATAAAATTTGCCGTTTAATAGCCACTGTTATTGGTCGTTGGACACTTTTGGTTCTCCGTCGGTGAAACTGTCTATTGACCGTGAAATTGAATGGTAAATTTGTCTTTTTATGTGGTGTTCTTTGTAACGGAGCAAGGAGGAGATATGGGTACAATGAGGAATTTGAAGAGGAAATTCCAATGGAGTTGTCGGGAAAATTCAAGGAGGAGATATGGGTTCAGGGGCTTCTCTGTAACTCCGACGCAACTAAATTGTCACACTTGCTCAAGAAATATAATGGGTAATGATCAAGATCTTCAATGGAGTTGGAATTCCGGGAAGAGCCGTCGGATGGGTCGTTTCTCTTGAGAAATGCCTTTTCTCCCCATTCATTCTCGCCGGAATCGTAAACCCAAAACGAGAGCTTTGAAAACTCACCGGAGACTAAAACCAATTTGTAGGAGTTTGTAGCGGAAGCCATGGCAATGGCCTGGAGAGGGCTTTGTTCGGACTCCGGCGAGGGAACCCTGCGGTAAAATTCGGTGACCGGATTCAAAACCCAGGAAGCCATCTGATTCGCTATGGAAACAGAGGAGTTCATCGGAGGCTGCAACAGGCACAAAATTGCAGCATGAATCGTCGTCCTCAGGTTCTTCATCTTCTAATCCTTTTATTCCTCCATTTTAGTGGGTGTTTTCATAGACAAGAAGAACAGAGTCCGAAGGCCTCAAGTCCAAGATTCGAAGTAATTAACAACAAAATTGCAACAACAAAAAGTTGAAAATTTGAATTAGACTGATTGATAGTCAAAAAGCAAAATTGACCATGGGCAGAGTCGGATGTGGTGCTCAATTATCACCTTCTCAGATTACTTCACAAATGCCCACCAAAAACCCAGTAGATCCACGTGATTCAATTCATTTTCAAACTTATTAGAGTTAATTCCTTCTCAGTCAAAAAGTAAAACTTGATAATGGGAGCTTCTCCTTCAAGTTTTGAATCATGGCTTCTTTAGCCTTCACTTATCGCTTCAAGTCATCCACAACTGCCTCGTACACCACTTCCCCTAATATCATCTCCATTTCTATGATCCTCTATTTATGTTAGATTTCAGTAAATAAAAATAAAAAGGAATAGGGACAACGGTGGAGTAGGTGGGGCGGTGGGGATGATTGGGGGCCTAGAGCCAGCGGACTAAAAGGATTAGAAGAACACAACATAAAAAGACGGTTTTGCCCTTCAAATTAAGGGTCAACAGACGGTTCCATTGACGGAGGACCAAAAGTGTCCAACGACCAATAAGAGTGGCTACTAAATGGCAAATTTTATTATGGAGGATGAAAACTGTCAAACCCCTAATAAGTTTAGGACCAAAAGTGGAATTAACTCTATATATTATATGCTCAACAAATTATAGATGACATTATATCAAGTATGCTTCAAATAATTTATGCAAAGGGTAGATCCACCTGTGCAGGGGCTGCTGGCTATGGCTTTTGAATGCCATGATGGGCTGTTTGAAACAGCATCACTTCATTCAGTTGCCATGGAACTAACACTCTCAGATGCTTCAAATAATTCGTCTTCCTTGCAGACAGTAGAAATGATCAATCTCCAAATATCTGCACCAATTAAATTTACTCGGGCGAAAGTATTCAAAGCTCTCAACAACAATTCCATGTCCCCTCCTTGAACCAACCCTGTGATAAATCTACTGGTAGACTCGGGGTGAGGGCTGTGCCCTTTGAAAACCATTTCGTCCAATATCAATGCTGCTTCCTGGGATTGCATTCCATCACACAGCCCATCAAAGAGTATCCTGTAGGTCACCACATCAGGCGTGCACTTCCGTCTTGGCATATCCTCAAATAGCTCATTTGCTTCTCTCAACTTCCCCTTCTTGCAAAGTCCTCTGATAATTACATTGTAACTTATCACATCTGGCTCGGCCCCCTGCTCTTGCATCTGATTCAGAACGCCGAATGCTGAATCAAAATCTCCCTCTTCAGACAACCCATGAATCATTGCATTATAAGTGACAGTGTCACATTTACACTTGTTCTTGTTCATCTCCTCCAACAGCCCTTGAACCTCGTCCTTCCGGCCATTCTTGAAAAATGCACTGATCAGAGTAGCATATATAGCAGAATCCAGTTCTACTCTCTTCTTCAACATCTCCTCCTTCATGGTTATTGCCAGATCCAATTTATTGTCTTTACAAAGTCCTTTGATTAGGGCAGCGTATAAATAAGCATTAGGCTTCAACTTAAATTCCCTAATCATACTTTCCTTCAACTCAATCGCCTTTTCCATCTCAAGATTGGAGCAAAGCCCGTTAATTAGTGTCCCAAAAGTTACCACATTAGGCAAAGGTCCTCTGCTCCGCATTTCATCAAACACATTCCATGCATTAGTTAAATCACCAAGAATGCAGCAGGCATTGATCAATATATTATACGTACAAACATCCGGGCAACCGTAATTTCCAAAACACGAAATGATCTCTTCCATTTTTGCAAATTCCCGACAAAGTAAGAGGCTACTCAACAAACTATTCGCAGACTTCATCGTTCTCCGGCATCTAAAATCTGGGATTCCGTGGAAAGTACGGATAGCTCGCTCGGGCATACGAGCTCGGCCGTAGAATGATATAATGTTACAAAAGATCACTTCTTTGGGGATCACACGAGTGTCTTCCTTCAACTTCTCGAGGATTGTCTCCATTTCGTCGAACATCTTGGCACGGCCGAGCTTGCAGATGATGCGATCATAGGAGAGGATCGAGTAGCGAATCGGAGAAGCGTTATGGGTCTGTCCAGGGTTGGGATTGAGGAAGAGTTGCAGGGCGAGTTTAGGGTCTTTCTCGAGACGGATCAGAGAAGAGAGTCTAAATGGCGAGACCTTTTTCAGTTTCTCCATCCTAGGGTTGAGGAAGAGTTGCAGGGCGAGTTTAGATTTCTTGTTTTGCAAAGAATATGATCTGAAGTTTCAGGCTAGTGAACACAGACCATTATCATCCCAAGTTCTAAGAATGTCACAAAAAATAAACAACATTCAAATTTCAAACACCGCAGCAAAAAACATTACAATTACATTGTACTAGGGGTGTGTTTGGTTGGAGAGTTTTGCCCATAGGAATGGGTATGAAAGTGATTGTTGTTGTTTGGTTGATAGGTTTTTAGAACACTACTATGGGTTTCGAATACCCCATCAATTGAAAAACTCATACCCAAATAAAATAAGGCTTTCATTCCCTTATTCATTCTCAAGCACTACTATTAGTAACCATTCACATTCCACCCTACTACCAAACATGTTAATTACTTTCACCAAAACCCGTTACCATTACCAAGTATTTGATACGCATTCCCATTCCGATTCCTATGTGCGAACTAAACACACCCTAGATTTGTTTGGCATCAAAATATCTAGAAAAAAGTATAAATGATTATAACACAAGGGTGATGAATGTTGTTTGTCTCTCATATGAACAGATAGTGTAAAAAAAAACTGAGAAGAGAATAATGTATAGGAAAAATACACACACGGTAAATAATTGAGAGGAGAAAAATTTTTAGAAAAAAAAAAATTAGATATTAAGATTTTGATTAAAGAAGGGTAAATGATGTCTAAATTAATAAGGATAAAAAGCAAGAAAATGTTAAAAGCCCTATAATTTATTTTGAAACGCTAAATTTCACATATTTTACTAAATAGAGTTATAGCTTTGTCAAATAAGCTTTAAGCTCTAATAAAAATTTTACTAAACAGAGTCTTTTGGCCAGAATTGAAGAATAACACCTTAAAAATTTAAACTAGAAATTAGAATTCAATTTATACTTTATAATATATTGAACACACATTTATCAAATGCACATTCTTTATTAATGATTGCAGACTTCCCTACCTTTGTCGAGAAAAAAAAATGTCGCACAACATCCAAAAATTATGAACTATTTAATAAGTGATAGAAGTTGCAAGTTCATTGGAGGAAGAGACGAGTTAATAACGAGAGAATCTAGTGGAAGACGTATAAGACAAGAATTAAACGGACAAGAGAAAAAAGCAGATTAGCTACACCTTTAATTACATTTAAAGACAACATCTGTACGTACTGGCGTTAAAGCAACAGATCACATCTGTCTGCGACTTTACCAGGAAACCTCAGACCCCAAATTCTTTTTGTTCAATTATACAGTGAATGGTCACTGTATCCATTCAAATTTCCTGCTTCTACTTTATTATTAATTACCTCTGGCCGGGCTGGCTTCTATATGCATAAACTACATTGAGCATTACAAATGGAAAAATATGTTTTTTTTGGGTGTAGGGAATAATATGGTTTAGAATAACTCTTTTGAATGAAATTTGACAACATACCCAACTCTTGCTCTGATATCACTTGTTAGCTAGGACTAAGGGCTTACTACTATATCAAAACTTATGGTTCGTAGTAAATGTGTAACTTTAATTTCCTATACCATTGTCACATTTTCGAGAGACAAGTGCTGATCATCACATTTTCGTGAGACATTGTGCTGGACTTAGCCCTTCAAGCCTCGTCTAACAATAGTTAATTACCAAATATCCCCAATATGTGTTCGACGGTACACTAACAATGTCAATTAAGGTATGCAATTTCATTCATTTGGATAGAAATGAGCACAAAATGCAGTATATGTGACAGTATATATATATGTTTACAAAATGCATCTTCTTCAACTACTGTGGAGTGTGGACCCTTTTGAGTTTTGACCACCTGCTTTTTGACTAAGTTGCTGGAGATCGGATTCAATTCAAGTTACGTTCCTTGTCTAACAAGCACACAAGAGACCATACAAAGCAGAAACAAAGCTTCCTCTGAAAGCTCATCAAGAACACCCAAAAATCTGCAGATTAAATAAACACAATACACATTATGTTAATTGAATAATACATTCCGTTTTAACTAAAAATTTAAACTGAGAATCTGACAATAATGACATAACGTAATCCGTAACTAAATATATACCTTGAAACAAGCATGGATATAAATTCTGAACCGGTGAGGCTTCCTGGCATTGTTTAACTTGCCGAGGAACTCGGCGCCGGAACACAGGTTTCCCGGCGAGGTCAACCAAACAGTTCTGGAAACCACCGGAGACCATAGGCTGCTCTGCTCGTAATCAAAGTCGAACTCGGACGCATCAAAGTACTTGCCTAGGAGCCTGTCCGACAATGTTTTGGACACCAGTTGAACATATGGACTACCTTCAGAGAAACAAGTAGTGTCCGGGGATGATGAGGTTTCAGATGGCATTGCTAATATAATAATGTCGTTTACGTGCATAGGAAAGATGGGCAGTTGTGAAAGTTGTATAATGAGATTGAGAAAGGAGGAATTGAAGTGCAATCATGGAGGAGAAGTTAGTACTATGTTTGGTTGGTTTTTCTTTGTTTACTTTAGATTACATTCAGAGCTGAGAAAGTAGTAGGGCTATTTATAGCCTGCAGAAAACTCAAGAAAGTTTGTATGACAACATAATAACTTTTTTAGTATTATTATTACTCAATAATAAATGAATTTATTTTACTATAAATTATTCGAATTAAACTGCGTTTAAAAATAAAATTCTGTTTGTAAAGTATGGATGTTTGGGTGAGAGTGTGAGACACGTTGGAGCATAATAGAATTGTGAATTATTGTGGTTTGTAAGTCCATTTGTCACAATCTGGATCTGAGATTATTGATATTTTTTCTTTAAGTATATATCATAAATAATAAATAAATAAAAAGAAGGAATTAATTCAAATTAGTGCATTATAAACCCCATAGTCTTGGTCATATGTATTTTTTAATTGATAGTAAAAGAATTTGAATTTACTTAAGAGTTAAGTATATACGGAGTATACAACAAAATATATTTATGTCATTATATTCCTTTTATATGTAGTCAGTTAGAAGTAAACAACTAATTTACCAAATACTATTAGTTGGTCAAACTGTATCGGATAATACAATAAGCTATCAAAATAATTGCCTAATATCTCTATAATGAAATATGTGTGGAAAATAAATCTAAAAAAAAACATAGTATATACAAGTATACAATGGTAACATCTTTTTTTTTCTAAAATTAAAATCAAACAACTTCCTTTTACTTAATGACTTATGCTGCTACATGAACCATGATCCACGATATAACTTGCCTACCACAATATTAAAAGTTTAATATATAAATAGGGAAAATGACACTTTTTTCCCCTAAGTTATATACTTATAGCACTTTTTCCCCCTCAATTATTTATGTAAGCACATTAGCCCCCTCAATTATTTTAAAAGTGGTGGTTTTTCCGCCTTATATATTAAATTGACATTTCTACCCTTAAAGTAAACATTTTATTTATTTTACTTCTCCAACAAATTATTGTGTATATGTAGCGATGACCACGGTTTGGTTCGAACTGAACCGGACACTATAGTAATCGAATTAAAAGTTTTCGGTTATGATTCAGATCTAAAACCCAATATTTAGATTTCTATTTATTAAATTTATGAATAAAAAAACTGGACCCTGAACCGTGAACCGGTGGTTTCGGATCCGGTTCACGATTTTGAACCGTCTTTATTTTAAAATTTTATTTTTTATTTTAAAGTAGTCTAAATTCAACAAAAAATGTATTTTATTTTTTCAGTTCGGAACATGAGCCGGTCATTCCGGCTCGCGATTTTAATAAACTCTAAGTATCGCGTTTGATTCTAAATTGTAATTGAAATATTTTGGTTTGGTTGCTATAGTATCTCTTTGGTTTGAACCAAATTATAGTAATAATTTGTTAGAGAAGAAAAATAAAAGAAATATTTATTTTAAATATTTATTTTAATGGTAAATATATCCATTTAACATTTCAGGGGGAAAAAGAGTCACTTAAATAATTCAGGGGGGAAAAGTACTATAAGTATATAACTTAGGGAAAAAAAGTGTCATTTTCCCTATATAAATATTATATTATAGACACATCACATTGGAATTTTGGAGAGTCATTAGGAGATCTTGATCAAGGACGTGACTTGCCATCTATCTCATTCAAGTGCTCTTAAGCATGAGCTACGTGAGTTTATGGTTAGTTTAGCATAATATCTAATGTATCCAAAAAAACAAAAAGTAGAATTTGCTTTACGAGCAAGTAAATTTCATTTTAGTCCCATGATTATTATACATGAATCACATTTAGTCATTGACTATTAATTTTTTTTTTTTAATTAGGTGCATAACTATATTATTTGTATCATATTTAGTTATATCGTCTAATTAGGTGCATAGTTATGTTATTTATATTATATTTGATCATACCGTTCAATTTCTCATCCAACTATTGCTAGAAGTTTTCCCTTCAGGAGAAGTAAATGTAGTAGTTAGCTAGGAAATTAGAGAGTAAGACTAAGTTTAATACAAATTACATAATTATATACATAATTAGAAAATTTTAATAATCAAAGATCAAATGTGATTCACGTATAATAGTTATGGGATAAAAAGTGAAATTTTATCGAATAACTAAATGTGCTAAAGGCCCAATTGACACAAATATTTTCACTTCTACGCCCCAACGGCCATCACAAATTCACAATAGTCAATACTCAATAGAACACTAGAACCTCCCGCTCTTTTCACTAACTCCTGCTTGAGCTCTCACCTCTTCCTCCCCAGAAGCCCAACCACAGTCCGCCCACAAGCACAAATCCTCATATAGTCAATCAAGAAGGTGGTAAGATCATTGCATAGTTCTCCAGAATCGGCGCCTTCAGGTTATTGCTTTCATTTTTTGTAAAAATCGGTGCATAATGTGGTATGTGTATATAAAATTTCACGAACTGGGTTTGCTTCTTCAACTTTTTATAAAGTGTTATGTATTCATAGATTATAGATATAACTGTAAATACCTTTGCCTGCTGGAAAGTGCTTTCAAATCACTCAGGGTCTCGTCAAAACATAGGGTTTTAGTTCCGCCCAATTTTACTTTTCCCCTGTTTTCATTTGATTAATTTTTGCTTTTTGTCAAAAACAAAAAGATTATAGATATAAGATTAAGGTGCCCATTTTTTTTTCCCTCTCTGACTCATGCAAGTGTTTTTCAGTCATAAGTTCAGTAACATTTCCATGTTCATCCACATTTGCATTACCAAGAACTTGTTGACATTGATCCCACTCTTTCAGTTCCCCCTAACGATACAAATTCATATAGTAATTTCCTAACACTATCTTGTTTGATATAGTATTTTGTAACTGCTCTATTTTCAATATTCTGATCTTTATATGATTGTGTGATTTCTTACCCTTTTCCTATTGTACATGTGTTCACATACTATTGGGAGTAACTCATCTTTATATAACTGTTTCTATGACTTATGCAGGTACAAAGCTGCCATCAAAGCTGATCCTTTGTGTTACGAGGTATGCGGCTTGATTTGTTATTTGGTTATTGATTCTCCAAATTTGTATAGGTGTTTTTTCCTGACTGAATGGAATTGCAAATCCTGAAACTATTTTCTATACATTGGACAACACATATAAAAATGTATTTAATCTTTCTTTTTTAAATATATTTTTCTTGCCTTTTTACAGGCCTTGGCATGCCTTGTAGAGAATCATATGCTCACTCGTGATGAAGGTGAGGATTCATTAATCATTTAACCTATATTACTTTCTAATTTATTGTTGGGGTTGAGTGCTTAAAAACATTGGTGTGATTTTATATGGAAATATGAACTGCAGAAATATCTGAGAAAATTAGGAAGTCACTTAGTGTGACAACCCAAAATATTTTCCTCCAAAATTCCTATTTATCAAACTTCAAACAAAATATATTTGTGTAATTTCATTCCTACGACAATTTCTATTAAGTGTAAATAAAATATTTTGAGTCTTCTATTTCAAAATGATTTAGCATAAAGTATTTATGGTTTTAAAGCCTCATTCAGGAGGAATATTTATTTATTTAAAATTTCAATCTAAAAGTCTATTTGAAACGAACTTGTGAACCTATACACTAGTTTTTGACCAAAACTTGATTTCAAAATGAACCTAACCTATTTCTGAATTATTATGTTGTGTTTTTAACCGAACTTGACCTAAATTTTTGGCCCAAAATTATAACCCGAGATTTTAAATCCCGAAATGACCAAAATACCCTCAAGTGCCGTTCACTCTTAATCTTCCCTCCCTAGGGTTTTGTGCACCTATTTAAGAGTCACTATTCCATTGCCTAGACTCAATCCCTCCTGCCCATTTTTCTCCTTCATCATCTTCATCTTCATCTTCTTCTTCAAGAAAACATCAAGCTCCAAGAAGATTCAAGCTTAGTAAGATCAATCTCCACTCTTCATTCTTCTACATTTCCTTCTCTTGATCATCTCCATTTCTCCTTCTCTTCTTTCATTTTCCCGGCTATGAGTTATATATATATGTGTGTGCTTTGTGTTTGATATATGTATGTATGTGTTCTTGTTGGGTGGATAGGAGGTGAAGGAAGTGGGCAATAGTGGAGGAAGAGGAGGGTTCATGCGAATAGGCTAGCAAGCTTGAGGTATAACCCATGGAAACCTAAACCTAATATTTTTATACTCAAAATCTGTGAAATATGTTGTGTATGTGTATATATTCTTGTTGATGCTTGAGAATGATGTTATGTGAGGTGGTTATGTTCATATTGTTGTGGAGATGGTGTCTTGACTGCAGTGTTGAAAAAGACGCTAGGTGCCCGATTTTTTATTTTTAAAATTTTTTTAGGGGGTTATTTGCCAAAAAAAAAATAAAAAAATCAGGGTTTGGCCGCCTAGACCGCCTAGGAGGCCGATTTCAGCATTCCTTGACGCGGTCGGGCGCCGTCTAGCGCCTAGGCGCGATTTTTGCAACCATGGTCTTAAGGCTATAATATTGCTATTGAATGATTTGGGAGGAGATTTGTGGCTGGCTTGTGGTGTTGTTTTCCTGTTGTCATTGCAGAAGGGAGGTCTGGAAGGCTACTGCCTTGGCTCTCTGTTTGAAGGCGCAGGACTAGTCACGTGGTTGAGACCACCACAGGCTAGCCCCGTGCGAAGGGGCAGGCATTCCAGCCCCGCCATTCCCGGTCGTGCTTGACACAGGGTCAAGCGACGGGACTTCGAGTCCGGCCGCCTAGCCCTGCGTGGCCACGGGTCTTGAGACAGAACCTTTGGTTCTGTTATCAAAGACCCTGCACCGGGTGGCTTGTGAGGCTCGCTAACTTGGCCTGGTTATGTCTAAATGCCTATGTGATATGTGCATAAAGTCTATTTTCAAAAACAAGCATGTTTTGCTATTTTACTAAGTGTAAACTAAGGGTGATTTATTATGTAAGTTGAGCATTTCTCCAATCTTTGAGTGCCTTGTATAGAAATTGTATAGAAATTATAAGTGTTGATATATGAGCATATCTTGAAGTGTTTGTTTTACTATTATGATCATATGTGTGTGTATGCATAGGGACACTTGCATATAAATATTTATATACACTTCTATTTTACATAACAAAAGCCTATGCTGTTATACTCGTACCTACCCAACTATTTTGGAAATGTATATCTATATTCTATTTACAAGCTTATACCACATGCATGAGTCTTATTTAGAAAAGGAAGGTTTTCAAATGCTTATATTATCCTTATACCCAAAGATGTGAGGAAAAATCTATATTTTGGAGGACCCGATTGGGCTATGGTTCCTTCGGGAGGAAATAGAAAGAAATGCTGAAAAGAAATGATGAGATGTTATGATGAGAGAAATTCGGTAGAAAACATTTTGGATTTGTATCAAAGTAACCTGGTAGAAAACATCCTGGGTTTACTTTTAGGGCTTGAGCTATTACCCGCTGGGCTTGAAATCCCAATTAGGGAGTTAGGGGGTGTGCACACTGAAGGTAACGGTCCTGATTCCACATAGAGTTATTTACTTGGGAGTTTAAGTTGAGCATTTCTCCAATCTTTGAGTGCTTTGTATAGAAATGATAAGTGTTGATATATGAGCATATCTTGAAGTGTTTGTTTTACTATTACGATCATATGGGTTTGTATATAGGCGACGCCTTATCGGTGGAGACAGACGCTTGGGGAGCTCGCCTCGCCTGAAAGTGGTGAGGCGAGGTCCGATGTTGCCTAGGCGACGCCAGGGATGCTAACCCGGTGTCCAACTCGGAAATCTGACCCATTTTGTAGATTTTTACAAAAATGCTAACCTAAAACCCTAATAAGCATAGAGAAGAGAGAGAATATCAAAATAAATATTTCGTGCGACTGGTGCTGCGTAGAGAAGACTGTCGTTGCCTTCCCTCCCACTGCCATCGCCCGCGGTCCCACCCCCGTCTCCATCCCACTGCTGTGACGCTGTGAGTGTTGGTTTCTTTCTTCGCACTTCGCAGTCTTGAGTTTGGCAGACTTGGATGCTATTTTTCTCTTTGTTTTGGTTTATAAACCAAAGAAATGTATTACTTTGGTTTATTATAAACACATGGCTGGCAGTGGGTAGATGCAGTGCTCACTTCCTGCCACTTGTTTTTTTATTTATTTTTTAATTTTTTTCCTAATTCACTACATTGTTTTGACTTTGGACAGTAGGATTATACTAAGATATGGCTGAAATTTCTGAAAGTGAGAGCTATGATCCATCTACCGATCCTAAGAGGAAAGCTAAATCTAATGATCCGGGATGGAAATACGGATTTTGGCCGGACTTGACAAACAAAGACTTGGTTGAATGCTCACTTTGCCACAAACAAATGCATTCGGGAATCAAAAGATTAAAACAACACCTTGCAGCAGGTTATGGAGATGTTGCTAAATGTCCCAAAACAACTTCCGAAATTATGTGGGAGATGCAACAATATATGCAAGGCACATCAAGGATGAAGAGAGCAAGGGTGATCTTGGATGATGATGTTCAAGAATTGGAAACGGGAGAAAGACAACCATCATCTCATGATTCTGTTACTTATCCAAGTTCCGGGACGGCGAGTAAAAGAAAACAATCTACTTTAAGATTTGCAGAATTGCAACCAAGAGTAGGAAAACAAAATCAATCAGTTGCAGCACTTCTTAGAAAGACTCCTGAAGAAGTTGATGAGAGACATTCCAAAGGTCCTACTCAAAGAACAATTGAAGCTTGTACAAAGAGCAAGGAAGAAAGAGAGAGGGCATTGATGCATATAGCAAATTTCTTTTATGAGAATGACATACCGTTCAGTGCGGCTAATTCAAGAAGTTTTAAAATCATGGTTGAATCAATTGGACAAATGGGACCGGGATTGAAGCCTCCTAGCTTTCATGAGTTACGGGTACCTCTCCTTGAGAATGCAAAAAAAGAGATTGACAAGTTGAAAGAAAAACACAAGCTTGCTTGGAAGCAATACGGGTGCACACTCATTTCAGATGGGTGGACTGATAAGAGAGATAGACACTTAATTAACTTCCTTGTCAATAGTCCTGAGGGAACTTTCTTCTTGGAGTCGGTTGATGCATCGAGTGAGTCACATGATGCAACAATGTTAGCTGCATTGTTGGAGAAAAAAGTTGAAGAAATTGGCAAAGAGAATGTTGTTCAAATAGTGACCGACAATGAGGTTAATTATAAAGCGGCCGGCAGACTTTTGGAGGGGAGGATTCCTACATTATTTTGGACTCCTTGTGCAACACATTGTCTTGACCTCATGCTAGAGGACATTGGAAAGTTGGCGGAGTTCAAGTCCAATATTGCAAGTGGTAGACATATTACCACTTTTATTTATAGACACGGTCGAATTCTTAATGCCATGAGAGAGCAAACAGGTGGTAAAGATCTTGTGAGAGTTGGAGCTACTCGATTCGTCACAACATTCCTCACATTACAAAATTTGTACAAGCACAAGAATGCTTTGAGAAAATTATTTGTAAGGTTTGGGTTAGCTCTAAATTAGTCAACACAGAAGCAGGTAAAAGGGTGTGTGACATTGTGCTTTCATCTAGATTTTGGACTGCTGTTGAGGATTGCTTGAAGGCATTACATCCCTTTTTGATTGTATTGAGGATCGTTGTTGATGATAGGACTCCAGCTATGCCCGAGCTTACTATGGCTATGTTGGCTGCTAAGAAAAAACTTAACAAATCATTTGCAAGCAAGCCAAGGTTGTTTACAAAGTTGATGACTATTGTTGAGGGGAGATGGGAAGATCAAATGGGAGTGAAGTTATATGGAGCTGCATTGTTTTTAAATCCTTCTAAATATTTTGATCTTAAGGCGAATGATAGTTTATATGCTCGTAAGCAACGAGCCATGTTTAATGCAGTATTTCTGAAGGTGATTACCGATGATGAATTGCAAGTGAAAATTAGCAATCAAGTTGATAATTATGATAACATGAGAGAAGACTTTGGGATGCAATTAGCAGTCAAACAACAAAAATCAAAGACTCCTCGTAAGTAATACTAACTAACTACTAAGTACGAAGTATACTTAATATGATAAATCTTAAACTTGTTTTTGTAGTTGATTGGTGGAATGCTTTTGGTGGACTTAGTATTGAGCTTCAAACACTTGCAATGCGCATCACAAGCCTTTGTTGTTCATCTTCTGGTTGCGAGCGCAATTGGAGCACATTTGAGTTTGTAAGTATAATTTTTCTAATTAGTAAATAGTATTATAGTAAGTATAATTTTTCTAAAATTTTAAACTTGTTTATTTTTCTACTTTTACTTTTTTAGATCCATACAAAAAAAAGAAACCGCTTAGAGCACAAGAGATTGAACAACTTGGTCTATGTTCAATACAACCGTAAAATTGCAAGTAGGTTTCTAAAGATCGTGAAGAAGGGTCCAACTTTAACTCATTGGTCTTAGAAGAGTTCCAATGGGACAATGAATGGGTTGATAGTAGTAGATCTAGTGATGATGTTCATCCCGGGAGAGATCTTTCATGGCGGCTTGTTGATGAAGCAATTGGTGCATCAAACAACTTTGAGGGCCGTAATCTTCCTATGAAAGCTCACGTGGGGGAACGTTCGAGTGCACCAATCTTGACCTATTCACGACGCCGCAATACTTCTAGTTCTAGGATAGATGAGGAAGAACAAAATGAAGAAGAAGATCATTTTCCAAATGATGATGAAGAAATTGAAGATGATGATGACCAAGCGGGAGGAAATGAAGATAATGATGATGACAATGAGAGGGAAGGGAATATGGATGACTTTTTGATGGATCTTTGAGAGTTTTAACTTGGATGTTAGATATTATTGATTATTCTACTTGTGTATTATTGGTGGATTTGGTGATTTGATGTGTGTTAACTGTTGGAATTTGGATATTATTCTACTTGTGTGTTATGTAGTTGGAGTAGTTGGTGACTTGATGTATGCATGGTTGCAGTAGGCGCTATGCGCTAGTCGGGCGCCCAGACAGCGCCTAGCGTCTAGGCGGTCTAGGCGGCGCCTAGGCGGGCGCCAAAAAAAAGTGGTAGACTTGCAGTTTGACAATTTTAATGAGGTTGTTTTCAACATTTAATCAAATAATACATCCAAATAAATGAGTTAATGATAATTCATAAGTCATAACATCAAAACAATGATTTTCAAAAAAAAAACATTTAAATAATATTAAAAATTAAAAATACTCAAATATGAAATACTTAAATACTTCAATCATCTAAAGATTCAAAGTATCAAACTAGTCTACGAGTGTATATATGTCATATTATATATATGTATGCGCGCGCGCACACACACACATATATAATAAAAAAAAATAGGCCGAGCCGATCGGGTTAACTCGACCGAAATGGACGAGTTAACTCGACTAACTTAGACGCTAGGCGGTCAAATCGGCCGAGTTAGGCGCTAGGCGGGCGCCTAGCAGGGAAATCGCCACGGTCTAGAGGCGCCTAGCGCCTAGGCAGGGTCTAGGCGGACGCCTAGACCGATTTTTACAACCCTGGATGTATGTTGACCCTAGTCTCTTAGGCAACAAGGTGGTCGAGAGGCGCTACGACTTAACAAAGCGCCGTGATAACTATGATGCATAGGGACACTTGCATATAAATATTTATATACACTTCTATTTTACATAACAATAGCCTATGTTGTTATACTTGTACCTACCCAACTATTTTGGAAATGTGTATCTATATTCTATTTACAAGCTTATACCACATGCATGAGTCTTATTTAGAAAAGGAAGGTTTTCAAATGTTTATATTATCTTTATTCCCAAAGATGTGAAGAAAAATCTATATTTTGGAGGACCCGATTGGGCTATGGTTCCATAAGGAGGAAATGATAGAAAAGAAATTATGAGATGTTATGATGATAGAAAACATACCTGATTTGTATCAAAGTAGCCGTGAACCCTTATTTTGTTTGATGATGATCATTGACTCTAGCAGTTTAGCCTGGTAGTTACCTTAGTGTGGATGGCTACGGCGGTAACATCCCCATGTGATGTTTAAGGTATTGACATTATGTAATAAACCTAATGCTTTTGCCGTTATTTCTATCTCTAAGTGTATGAATTATATTAGGCTCTTACTCAGAATTATTATGACATTCTGTTCTATTTGATTGTGAAAAAAGTTCATTCACTTGTTTTAATTGCTGCACTAGATCATAGGCAGGTCTACTCTCATCATTACAGTTTGGTGCTCGAGATCAGGAGATGGTTGGCTCTCTTCATTCTATTCTTGCTTGGTAAAGAATGTAAGAATTTCATATGAGTTATGTTATCATCTGTATGGTCCTGTTATGTCTTCTGATGATGCATTAAAAATGGTTGTCTTTCCTTTTGCATTTCAATTATTAATTTCTTCTATGTATGAACGAATTATTATCATAATGTTTGCAGTATGAAAAAGAGAATGTAGTGGAAGCAAAATTTAGAGAACTGGAACAGGATGGTCCAAGTATAAAACCGTCAGACTAATCCTTATTGTTTTGTACACTCAAGAGGTATTCTTCAATTTTTTTATTTTTTATTTTTTTCAGGAGGTACAATGAGGCAATTACATACTATGAAAAAGCTCTTGCATTGTCAACAAGAAGTTTAAGTACATATGCCGGACTTGCATACACTTATCATCACCTGCAGGTAACTTTTTAAGTTCTCCATGCTATGCAGGAAAAGTCATTTGGTTTGACATCTTGAACGCCATAGATTTATGATCGATGCTGACTGTTTCCTTCACGCAGGAAAAGTTGTCGGCTGCAATTACTTACTACCACAAGGTGAGTTGCATTATCTAGATAAGATATTTAATGTCTCAAGGAAATTATTATATATGGACCGTCATTATCAAAGGAATGGTTTATATATGATGTGTCATTGACAAAATGCTCTCTTTCTCTCAATAGCGAGTTGCAAGTTGCAACTACTTTCAGCCTTTTCAAACTTTGATATGATGCAGGCTTTATGGCTCAAACCAGACCATAAATTCTGCACAGAGATGTTGACATTGGCTCTAGCCGATGAATAGAATGTAGACATGCCACCATTCCAATAATTGAATCTCACCATAATGAGCTATTGATTTAGAGGGCAGGCACACAAGATGCACAATTTCTGTGTTGTAGTTATAGCAAGTCTATATACCCATTATTGGCCATACCCCATCATCTGTATCCAAGTAAAAATCATAATTTGGGGGTTCAGTTTCTTGTGAATGATGATTTAAAAGAATCATCTCCCATTTTTGTATCTCACGTGTGGAGTACAAGGTTGTCTTGTTTTCATCTCTATCTTGACTTTATTACCAAGTTATAGGACTAGTATTTATTTCCCATTTATTAGGGAAAAGTCTGGTTTAAAACAGTTGGAATCAACTACTTTAATCCAAAAGAATTTTAGTATTACTAGTGTGATTGTTTGTTATAAGATAATTGACCCAAAAGTGGAGTTTAGCTCGTTTAAAATATCACCCTTTAGAGGTTTTTTTTTTTTTTTTTTTTTTTTTTTTTTTTTTTTTAAAGCTATTTTAGAGGTATTTTAAAACATGATAATTGAAGTTCAATATGATTCTCATACTTGAAAAGCGTGATCTGATCACTCTTTGTAAAATTTGCAATAATATGTTGGATCAGTATGTGTGCATATTGTTACATGTATTCAACACGTTCTTATTTTTTAACTTAAATTTATTTTTCTTTATTTTCTAAATTAATGTATAAAAAAATTCGTTAAAAAAAAAAATCTAATTAAGATTTTTCAAGGAATACTATATTGATATTTTTTTTAAAAAAGAAACTATAAGTATATAAAATTATTACTTTAATGTAATATTTATATGCATTAAATTTTGTTTATTTAAATATATAAAAAGAATATTATGAACATACTACAGAGATAGATATTATGCATGTACCAGTAGTTTAGTATTTATATACATTAAGGACAAATATTATAAATATAGTACATGCATGATAAATGTTATCAAACATGGACATATAATATAATTTTCTTTACATTAAACTTTGTTTTAGGACCATATAGGAGGAATAGTATGGAACCTACTAAAAAGTGAATTCAATTAGATGTAATGTACATGTAATTTAGTGTTTATATACATCAAGGTTTAAATTTATGGCCATAGAGAAAATATTATGACATAGCACATGATGAATGTTATTAAACATACGTCTACAATGTAATAATATTTATATACATTAAGCCTTGTTTTTGTAAATATACAAAAGAACATTATGACCCTGCAATAGATTAATATAATGTAAGTATATATGATGTACATTCAATTTTAGTGTTTATATACATTAAGATTTATGTTTATGGAGATATAGAACAAATATTATGAACATAATACAGAATAATATTATATTATTAGACATGACTCACTAATTAACATTTAACATAAAATCATATTATTTTAGATAAAATCCACCATAATACAAAGTTAAACCTAAACCACAATATAATTTGCCATTATTCATATATAATAATTCAAAGTGTTGGCCGCCATCTTGCTATCCTAAGCCGTAAAATCAACATTTTGAATTAAGTTATTAGGGCAATATAATTCATAACATTTTAACAGAAACCTAATTAAACAGATCGAGCTGGGTGGATAAGAAATTTGATGGTGCTCTTTTATTTCTGGAAGGGGCAATGCTTAATGTTGGAATCTGTTCCTTTGAGAAGCCCACCAAAAAGCTCTGCTGGGTCATAGTATATCTCTACTTCCTCAGCCCTCAGAGATTCATCAACCTGTAAATTAAACATCATAATCATATTCAGAGTACAACTTTGTAAAAGTTAGGGTCCACTCATACTGATGTGGAGCGACAACATATGGAGTCTACCTATATTAAAATCAGTAAACTGAAGAAGATAAGAATCATGTCTATACATAGAACATAATAGTCTATTAGGTGGGAGGACTAGTGTCTGGTTGTTGAGCATATACCCATTAATGTGCAATCAAACTATCAGCTTAGTCTTTTAGTTGAGATGAAGCACATGCTTCAATTCTGGTGACTTCACAAAGAATCTATTACCTTGAGTGTAATTTTCATGACTGTCTTGTTAAGATTCGATCCTATGTTCTTGTTCACAATTTATCTGTTTGGGGAAATGAGAGAGAGAGAGAGTACCTTCATGATACCAAGGCCATAAAACTGAACCAATTCTCCGGTAGGGGAATGGCCGTTGAAAGGTCCTTCAAAATAGCCCCAATGCCTGAACTTGTAGGCCACCACAGGCGGCCCTGAATACACGGCCATCACTTCCCACGCAAACCCCCGAGGAAATGCCGACCGGAACGCGTCGTGTGACGATTCAAAACTCTCCTCCTCGGATTTGTAGAACTTGAACTGTTCCGGCAACGAAGTCTTCAACAGTGCATTGTAACTCCCCACCTTTAAGGTTTCTTCAGCTGACAATCCCTCCCTCCCTATAATTAATAAATAAATAAATAAAAGGAAGAGAAATTAGTTTGATGATGTCTGTCGGGAATTCTGTACTTTACGAATATGAATTTTGTACCTTGTCGATCCAAAGTCTATAATGATATATGGACACTGGTATATGATATAAATTGGCGAGTTGATGAGGGTAGACATGATCACATGAATCATGTGGATGGGTGTGATTATTTATTTAATTTGTTTGTGGTGAGAGTAAACATATATATGATTCTGTTATGGAGTAACATCTTAACCAATTCAACTATTTTTAAATGGACTGATATATATATATATATATATATATATATATATATATATATATATCTTAATCCACTACTATTTATCATGCATGCCATTCACAAATTTTTCTTACCTTTTTCATACTTTACTCTCATGTTCTAATGAGATGTTTGATAAATAAATAGCTGAATAGTCAATTTTTAAGAAAATTTTTATGTCTTTTTCAAAATTATGACATTAATAATAATAATCATAAATAAATAAATAAAAATAAAACTAAAAATAGTTTTACATAATTTTTTAAAAAATAGATTTATATCTTTATAAGTCATTTTAGATATGTTACTAATTAATACTATGTTCCCACCGTTTTACCAAAAAGATACATTTTATGGCAATACACTTAGACTTTTATATAATGCACTTATATGCTGATTTAGTTTTAAAAAATCATGGAATTGTCACAATGTAAATTTGAACTGTTTAACTACTTGATTTAAATAATCTATTTTACTTTATATATATATATATATATATATATATATATATATATATATATATATATATATATATATTCCCACATAATCTATATAGTTTAGGGTTTGAATCCAGCCTACCAAATGATTATGTATTTGATCTTTTGGTGAGCACTAATTTACAAGTATTTGGGGCCTATTATAGGCACATATTGAAATTTACCTTCTTCACAAGTTTTAACTGGAGTAAGGGCATCCTCATTAGTAGGAATTTTGGTGTGAGTTTTGAAGAATTTCTGTAAGTGTGATTAGGAAAGAAAAAATGATAAAAAAAAAGTGAAAAAAAAAACAAATACTGCTTTTTTTTTTTAAATAATAATAATAATAATAATAAAGACTATCATTAATGCCCTCGTGCACTGCACTCGCCCGAAAGGGGCCATTTGTAGTCTTCACCCGTTCTTTTCTGGGAAATTATTAAAATGGGTGGGTCCCACTTTTTCTGTAAAATCTCCACATTTGCAGTACCAACTCTAATATTCTCTCTCCTCATTATTATCTTTTCATGTTGGCAATTTTCTCTTAAAATCTGTGCATAGTCTCCTTATTGGAGAGGTCCTTAATTAGTTTCTTAATTAGTTTGGAGTTGAGACTTTTAGAATTCACATACGGATATTTCCGATGTATGCTTGCTAGCTAGGATATGAATATATGATGTTACATACATACCATTAACGAAGAGCTTGAATTTTTCAGGATTGATGGTCCTGAAGTCTTGTATGCGAGTTTTATGAGACAGCTCCATTTCCCAGGACTTTACAGCATTTTGTACCTTCTCTTCTAAGGATCCTTCTGGCCATACCTACAAATTAAAATTAATAACCAAAACGCCGGCCGGCCATCATCATCTTCTTCAACTCTTTTTTGTGACTAACATATAATTAGTGTGACAAAAATCCCACCTAAACATCGATTAATCGATACTAGACCCTCAGTGGTCTAGCTAGTAGGTTGGCCAGCTAACCGGCCTAGTTTGCCGCTTAAGCGCCGCCTAAACACTGACTAGGCGGCCTAAATTTGCCGCTTAAGCGTCGCCTAGACACTGACTAGGCACCGGCTAGGCGCCCAATTTTTTCAACACATATATATACATGCAAGTGATACAACTAACGTAGTACTACGTAGTACCTGGGTTCTGCCCTGTTCAAAGAGCTCGTTAACGGCGTCGAAAATGGGAGCGCGGCCGTGCCTCCACTGGATGTCTCCTCCCGCTTCGTCGTGAAGGAAGGACCTGTACTTATCGCCTACTCCTTGCTCCGCCGCTCCACCAGCTGCCATTGATCCTCACCCACGACGTTATCTCTACTTTCTCCGCTCCTACAATATAATATGATGGTGTACGAGGAAGCTTAATTGGCCTCACATACTACATTGGGTTTTATAGGCGGTGGCCTTCATGGCGATTCCCCGTCCCAATACTCAATCCACACGTCAGATTCTTAATTGAAATTTGAAATACATAATATTTAGGGCTCGTTGGAATTGTAAGGAATAACGAGTATAAAAATTTACAAACCACGAACCTACTTGGGTTATGCCATTGATAGTTGCAGGACTATTATATCGACTTTTGATTATTGTTTTCTTCATTATATTCCTAGATTAGAAAATTATTTAGCTCATACTTTAGCATCTACTGCTTTTACTCATTCGACTTTTATGTACTGGGACTCAGATACACCAGCTTCTATTTCTGCATACTTTGAATAAAATGCCGTACAGGCTCCTTTAAAAAAAAAAAACGAGTATAAAAATTTATATGTCTCTACAAAGGCTCTGTTTGACAGAACTTGTTTAGCATAACTTATTTAGGAGCTTATAACTTATTTTAAGTTAATAATAAGCTATAAGCTCTGTTTGATAATGTTCCCAAAATAAGCTCATACCTTAAAATAAGAGCTTATTTTAGAACACTACCTTAGGTAGCGTTTCAATATAAGCTCCTAGCTTCCTAACTTTTTTTTACCATCTTTATCCTTATTATTTTAAAGAAATGACAAAATTTATTCTTCCCAATTAAAATCATTTTCTCTTCTCATTTATTCGCAACTTTCACCGCAAATATTATTATTATTATTATTATTATTATTATTATTATTATTATTATTATTATTATTATTATTATTATTATTATTATTATTATTGCAACAATATTGCTACTTCATTATGAGATGCTAGATTATGATTATGTCAATAGTTTTATTTCAAAATGTTAATTTTTTTAAAGACAAAATGTTAAATTTTAATATGTAAATAAACTAATTTAAATTTAATGAAGGTGTCCTTTTTAGTCTTTTTACATTTATCAGCTTATCAAAAAGTTAAGTTTACCAAACACTTTCAATCATAACAGCTAGCTTAACAGCTCTTCAGTTTTCAGCTCCGAGCTTATAGCTTTCAGCTCCTATCTTATAACTTTTCAGCTAGGTTTGCCAAACAAGGCCAAATTAATAAGAGTAATATAATTAAAAAAGAAAACAAAGGTAAAATAGGCAATTCATAACACTTTTTCTTCTCATCTTCCATGGAAAACAAAATCCTTGGTCCAATCAAGGATTTTGTTTTCCTCAAATTTGAGGAATTCATTTTCCAAAAGAATTCCATGAACCAAACACCAAGAAACAACATTTTCCTCCACTTTAAGAAATATATTTTCCATGAACCAAACATCCCCTTAGAGTGTGGGAGTGAATTGAAATAGCGTGAATATAATATAATTTATTTTAATTGATAAAATATAATATATACTCCGTAATTTGATAAATCTTAATTAAGAGATGGCATGGATCCATGTATAATAACTATAATCTATTATATTAATGCAATTAATAAAAACTCGGTGACTAATTAAGATACTTATATTTTAACTCGTTCACACTCAACAATAAGGATATGATGGACTTCCAAATGTCATATATATATATATATATATACTAGTTTTTCTACGCGCTTTGCGCGAATAGGATAGTGCCAATACTTTTTTTTTAAATAAGTATTTCAATGTAATATTATATAGAAAATGTTCATGCATAGGTAAATAAATGTTGAATTTGTTTATTTAAATCGGTAATTTAAAGTATATAAATGTAATATAATATATGAGAGATTGATTATATATAACTGTCACAAAATAAATGTTTGCAACTTTGTAATAACGCTAATCTAAGTACTAAGTCTAAAAGCGATAGTCTAAATAAATACTATTTTTTGTTTAAATTTTTCTATTTCTCTTTTAGGTAGCATTGTTATTGTTTTCATCTTCAGTACATATCTTTTTTTTCTTCTTCTTCTTTTTTTTCTCTTTTTTTTTTTGTGTTATTGGTAGTGTGTCATGTGCAATTGGGTTATTGGTAGTATCATAGAGGGATTCATCACGCAATGAGATTATGGTGTATAAAGTTTTAGATTTGTCTTATTGTGTATATGAGCACGTATA